TTGTGTGTGGTGTGTGTAGTGTGTGGTATGTGTGTGACTGTGTGTGATAGTGAGTGTGTGTAGTGTGAGTGTGTAAGTGTGAGACCTCAGGGCCCGGTGCTGACGCCCTGTGCAGCCTTTCCCCTAGCCGTAGCAGACACGGGTAGAGCGGAGGAACTTTCAGATTTCGGGGTACACAGCCTCCCCCTCGGGCCTCCAGCACTGGGGGTGGGGGGGTGGGCAGCGTCTGCTCCCTGACCTCTGACACCATGACCTCTGACACCCATCGCTGCCCTGCCCCAAAGGGTCCAGGCGGGGGGTGGGGGGAGGGCGGCTGAGTGGAGGTCCAAATTCTGCACCCACCACTGACCCGTTTAAAAGACAAGGTAGCCAGGCCAGTGCTCTTGCCTTGGGGAGCCTGGCAGAAAGTTCCAGAAGGGCAGCAGCGAGGGGGGAGGCGGTGGGAAGGGTGCAGGCCTGCCGCGGGGCTGATCCCCAGCAGCTCAGCCGCCGTGTGAGGGGTCGGGGCAGCGGGGCGCTGGGCCTGAGGGTCAGGTGGACAGGTCATCCACGCTGAGCACAGCAGGTCCAAGGGTCCTGGGGCATGAAACCCAGGCCCAGCTCTGAACCCAGCCCAGCGTCGGAGGCTGGAGCCTGTGGCTCCAGGCAGGACAGGCGTGGTTCAAGTAGTAGACACCAGCCTTGAGTGAAAACGCTAAGGCACAGCACCCAGACCCTGAGTTCGAGTCCCAGTCCTGGCACCAAAAACAAGACAAATCTGCTCAGACAGAGCAACGTGGAACCCTAAGAGAAGGACCCTGGCCACCCACGAGGGCCACCCTCCCCCCCTCCCGCCCTTCCTCCCTCCCTCCCATCCACATGAGGACGGAGGCCCGGGCGGGCTCAGGAGACCCCACTTGGGACAGTGACCCCATTACTGTGATCTCCCCAGAGAGTCCGGGGGACCCAGTGGCGGTGACGGCCAGCACAGCCGTGGCGGTGACCGTGGACCGGCGGACGGCCATTGCGGCAGGTAGGAGCGGGCCCGAGGCCCGGGGGGACTCAGCGCCGGGGCCCCAGCACCCGGGGCCCGGGGGGACTCAGCGCCGGGGCCCCAGCACCCGGGGCCTGGGGGGACTCAGCGCCGGGGCCCCAGCACCCGGGGCCCGGGGGGAGGAATCAGTAGCAGAACACTTTGGCCATCTGGTCCCTCTCCATGGGGTGGGAAGGAATTCATCAACCAAGAAGTCCAGGGAGGCCCAGCAGCGCCGGCCATGCGGCATGGACGGCTTCTGGCCTCGCGGAGAAGGATTCTCTCTCCCCGTGCCTGGGCTCTGGAACCCGGGCCGCGTCTCGCACCCCAGGCCCAGGGCCCGTACCCCCCCCGTGGGCGTGGGCGTGGGCCCGCCTCCCGGCGCGCTCTTGGCCCCTCCTCAGGGTGATCTCCATGGAGGAAGTAGTTTGGGGCTGTGGGGGGCAGGTGCGTGTGTGCCGGGCCCGGGGCCTGAACACGTGGCCTGGGTGCCACCCCCGCTGGTGCTCTACCACTTGAGCCACAGCTCCACTTCTGGCTTTTTAGTGGTTCGTTGGCAATAGGAGTCTTGTGGACGGTCCTGTCCCAGCTGACCTTGAACCCTGGTCCCCGGATCTCTGCCTCCTGCGTCACTGGGGTGAGGGCTTCATCATATGCAGGGAAATCGGATCACAGACAAGGCACATGTCTCAATCACGAGTGGAGGAGGGGCTTGAGCTGGGCCTCCTCCCAGGGAGCCCGCCGCCGCCCTGCCGCTGGCCCCGGCTCTCCTCTCGGGGGAGCCCGCCGCCGCCCTGCCGCTGGCCCCGGCCCTCCTCTCGGGGAGCCCGCCGCTGCCCTGCCGCTGGCCCCGGCCCTCCTCTCGGTGGGGCCCACCGCCGCCCTGCCGCTAGCCCCGGCCCTCCTCTCGGGGAGCCCGCCGCTGCCCTGCCGCTGGCCCCGGCCCTCCTCTTGGTGGGGCCCGCCGCCGCCCTGCCGCTGGCCCCAGCCCTCCTCTCGGGGAGCCTGCCCCTGCCCTGCTGCTGGCCCCGGCACTCCTCTCGGGGGAGCCCGCCGCGCCCTCCCGCTGGCCCCGGCTTCGGGCGTCCTGGGAGCCTAGGGTGGCTCTGGGTTCCTCCGCCGCCTCTGCCAGGCAGCCCGGCTGGCCGGCTCTCCCAGCCCCGCAGCACTCAGGTCAGGCCACGGGCCAGCGCTGGCCTCTGGCTTCTCCCGGAGGCCCAGGGAGGAGAGGGGACGCGGCCAGGCCGCCACCTGTGCTGTCCGCATCTCCCCCAAATCTTTGATATCATTTTTAACTCGCGACGGAATTAGAGCCGTGAGGGTTGCCATGGAAACGTGTCCCGGTTGAACTCGCTAGGCTGTGAGGGGGGAGGAGGCTGCGTCTCCTTCCAATCTCCTTTTGTCGTTTCCGCTCTAGCTCTCGGTGGGGCTCGGCCTCGGGCTGCTGTCCCCCGAAGCCCGGGGGGGGGGGGCGGGGGGGGCGGGGTGCTCCGGGTGGGAGTGTGTCTCCTGAGGTTGACACCGCAGGAAGCAGAACAAATCAGCCACCACCAGCTGAGCAGGAGCCACAGCTTGCATCGGGCCAGAATGCATCGGGTCCCAGCCCCCCCCCCCCCGCCCCCCTGCCCTGCAGGCCCTGGTGGCCAGCATGGTGGAATCCTACCCTGGTGGAGCCAGAACAGCGTGGTGGAATCTGACCACGTGACCATGGTAGAGCCGTGATAGCGTGGTGAAATCTAACCACGTAACCATGGTAGAGCCGCAATAGCATGGTGGAATCTGACCACGTGACCACGGTAGAGCCGCAATAGCATGGTGGAATCTGACCACGTAACCACAGTGGGGCTGTGACAGCATGGTGGAATCTGACCATATAACCTTGGTGTGATCATGAGGTGGAATGTATCGACAGTAGAGCCGTGACCATGTGGTGGACTCCAACTGCGTAACCTCGGTGTGACTGTGTGGTGTAATTCAGCCCCGAGCCGCCGTGACCATGTGGTGGAATCTGACCACGTAACCTCAGCGTGACCGTGTGGTGTAATTCATTCCCGAGCGGCTGTGACCATGTGGTGGAATCTGACCACGTAACCTCGGTGTGACTGTGTGGTGGTGTAATTCATCCCCGAGCCGCCGTGACGGTGTGGTGGAATCCGGCCGTGTAGCCTCAGTGTGACCGTGTGGTGTAATTCTGTGGAATCTGACCGCATTGCCTCAGTGTGACTGTGTGGTGTAATTCTGTGGAATCCGGCCGCGTAGCCTTGGTGTGACCGTGCGGTGTAATTCTGTGAAATCCGGCCATGTAGCCTCGGTGGAGCCCGGCAGGCATGTGTGGTTCGCTGGTGGCTAGGCTTCAGTGTCTTGTAAGAGGGAAAGGCCTGGACAGGCCCTGTCCTGTCAGCGCCCGGCCCTCCCCGGCGTGACCTCGTGGGCCTCCCTCTGGGAGTGACCGAGGCCCGTGACCCCCCACACCGATGAGCGGGGCCTGGGCCTGGGCCCGTGCCTTCCTGTGCCTGCTGCGCAGGGGCTGGCTGTGCCCTAGAGATCACCTCGCAGCGGCCCGGGCTCTGCTCTCCACCCCACCCCCTCCGTCCCCACCCCTGCCCCTTGCTCCCCGCCTTCTGAGCCCCCCACCCCCCGCATGGAGGAGTCAGGCCTGCACCCCCGAATAGGGCCTGCTAGGCACAAGTCAGCCTCAAAGGCCAGGATGGGGGGGCAAAGGGGGCCGCGTCGTCAGCAAGGCCTTCACCCCTCCACAAGAGCCTGGCGCCCGGCCAGCACGGCCTCCCTGTCAGGACCGATCCGTCAGAGGCAGTGAGGCCCTGGGATTCCAGCCCTGGATGGCTGCTTCCGGCTGCTTCCGGCTGCAGGGGGGGCAGACGTGGCCCTGGCGGTGCCCACGCCAGCCGCAGCCCCCTGGCGACCCCCCCAGGCCGTCCCCCGACCCACAGGGAGCCCCCTGCCCGGGGGGGGGGGGCTGACGCCCCCTCACACCGCAGAAACCAGGGCGCGTGTAGGAAAATACAGTCTTTATTGGTCTTCTGAAACAGCAACCAGAAATATAATTTTGCCTTTAAAAACCTCCCATCTGGGGCGCGGCCGCCATCGATGCCCAAACCTCTCCCGGTTCCTTGAGAGAAACGTCACCTCTGGGGAAGCCGCGTGCCCTGGCCTAAGAGGCCCATGTCCCGCCTGGGCCGCAGAATGACCTTCTAGAAGGTTCCCCCAGCACCACGCTCCCCAGGTCCCTGACTGCCCGCCGCAGCCGGGTCTGGCGGCTTCCTGTGCCCCGAGGAGACCCTACACCTCCGACCTCCCCTCCCTGAGCTCGGGGGACGGTGGGGCACAGCCCGGGAGCAGGGCTGGGCAGAGGAACCCCGGTGCACCTCCGGGGGGCCCCGCTTTCCAATCCCAGAACACCACCCGGCCCTGGCCTCGAGGATGCAGACAGACAATGCCGGAGGCGGCGGGGGGCCGCAGGGGGGGTCGGGGTGTGTCCCCAGGCCCCTGTGGTCAGCACCGGCTCCATCCACCTGTGCAGAATCTCCAGCCCTCCAGGACCAGTGGGAGCGGTTCCCATGGAGACGGCCCACTTTCCAGCCGGGCTGGAGGAGCGGCCGGGCCCTCCCCTGCTGACGTCAGGGGAGCCGGGCTGTGACAGCAGGTGTGCGGTGACAGTCCGCCCACCGTGTGGGGCGGGAAGCTGGCGGCTGTGCCGTCAGGAGAGACCCCGAATCACACCGCTGTGCACACAGCCGCGGGATCCGCGTGCACGCGCACACACGCAGGGCAGCGTGCTTCTGCCGCGAAATTTCTCAGAACTCAACCCGGGCTCCCGGGTCCCCCGGCCCTGGAGATGCGGGGGGAAGGGGGGCTGGGGGGCCTGAGGGCACGGGGAGGGAGGAGCCCCAGGCGCCCCAAGGACTCGGCTCCGCGTCCTCCCTGGGAGGGGGACGTGGTGGTCCGAGGAAGCTGCCGGGCTGGGGGGGAGGCGTGGAGGCGGAGGCCGCGCAGCCCGGTCTGGAGCGATCCCCGGGGGTGGCCGCCGTGGCCGTGGCCACCGTGGCCGTGGCCTGCCCCTCAGGCCACGGAGGAGATCTGCTTCTGGTCCTCGTGCTCTGCCTCGGGGTCCCCCATCAGCGGCTGCCGCTTCTTGAGCTCCCGGTGGTACTTGGCCATGAGTGAGGCATAGATGCAGCCGTAGGAGGCCGCCACCACCATCATGACGCACACCACGCCGCACACCACGCCGGCGATGACCACCGTGCCGATGGCGCGCCGCACGCTCGCCGGCCGGTACCGCTGCTTCTGGGGACAGGCGGTGCTGGGCGCGGGCTCGGGCTCGGCCCCGGGCCGGGGCCGGGGCGGCTCGGGGCTGGCCTTGGTGCAGGGGGCGCCGGGCTCCTCCTCCAGCTGCACGCAGTAGTTGAACATCTCCATGGGCACCGCACGCATGTCCTTCCCCCGCAGCTCCTTGGGCAGGGTGCAGGCCAGCTGGTCCAGACGCCCCCCTGCACACGGGGGGACAGAGGAGGAGGAGCTGAGCAGCCGTCCACCCTCGTCCACCCCCCACCCCCGGCCCAGAGGACAGACAAGGCCCCCACACCTCGCTCTCGGGGGCCGGCAAAGTCCCGGAGCCGCCCGGCATTCTCCGGAGCTGCTCCGAGCCGTCCCCACCCCCACCCCGCCGTGAACTACACCGACCCAGGGGTGCGGACCCAGGAAAGAGGGGGACCCTGAGATGCCAGGAGACCACAGAACGGCGTCCGGGGCCGGGGGAGGGTTTGCTGTTGGCCAGCACCCGTCCGGGCGTCGGACCGGGCGCTCGTGGAGATGGGTGTCCCCGAAGCCCCCAGACAGGGTGCATGGATTTCACAGCGCCACGCAGCCAGGAGTCTTCTACCTCGGGCTCCTGAGCACCGAGCTGTGCTCTGGGGGGCTGCACCTCCTCTCGCTCTGTGGCCGCTCTCCTACCCAGGGGGCTGCCACCCGGGGCTAGTGCCACGCCCCCCCAGCCTGATGGGGGTCCCCCCCCCCCCCGGGCAGGCTCAGCCCAGCGCTGTCCCAGGGCCCGCCCGGAGCGGCCCCCTACCCGGGCCTCGTCCCTGCAGCTCTGGGCGGCGGCAGCACAGCCAGGGCCAGGCCAGGAAAGGGCCAGGACCAGACAGGGTGTGCCGGCCGTCCCGGGAGCCCAGGCCCCAGGATCTACCCCGTCCAGGGTAGAACATCCCTCTCCACCAGCACCCGGAGAGAGCAGCACAGATCCGACGCCCGCACGGGCGCTGGCGAACACGAGCCCTCCCCCGGGCCCGGGCGCCGTTCCGTGGTCTCCGGGCATCTCATGGTTGGTGGTCTGTTTATTTTTGTAATGAGCTTGTGCACTGGAATCTCTTGGACGTGACTGTGTCCGTGGCCGGGTGGCAGACGCGTGCCTGCCTCCCCGATCGCTTCGTCCTGCGTTCCCCGAGCAGCTGCTCTGTGCGCTGCGTCCCCGTGCGCGTGCCCGGCTGTGTGTGATCCTCAGGCAGCCGCTTTGCCCGGAACTCTGCCGTGAGACCCATGTGTCCGGCGCCACGCGCTCCCAGAGAGGTTCACCCAATTCCTCCACGTCACACAGGGCGGAGGGTGGTGGGCAAAACCCAGGCCTGGCACTTCCAACCACAGAGCTTACTTACTTAGTCTCCCTTCCCTTCATCATGTCTTCTGCTCATTGCAGAACTACTCTGTCCAGGTTAAAAGAGGGGAAATAAGGTAAAAGTAAAAGCATTTCCGCCGCACGCTGTGGCTGACAGCCGTCATCCCAGCTACTCAGGAGGCTGAGATCTGAGGATTGTGGTTCAAAGCCAGCCCAGGGCAGGAAAGTCTGTGAGACTCTGATCTCCAAGGAACCACCAGAAAACCAGAAGTGGTGCTGTGGCTTGAGTGGGAGAGCGCCTGCCTTGAGCTGAAGAGCTGAGGGACAGCGCCCAGGCCCTGAGTTCAAGCCCCCACAAATGACAACGAAAAGCCAGAAACAGAGCCATGGTGCAAGTGATAGAACACCAGCCATGAGCAAAAACAGCTCAGGGACAGAGTCCAGGCCCTGAGTTCAAGCCCAGAACTAGCACAGGAAATGCATAAATAGAACCATGTAGTCTCTTGGTTGACAGTTTGACTAACGGAACTTTTGCCAGCCTCAGCCCGTGAATGCTGGGGCCTGGGGCTTCGATCGCCTCACTCGGCTGCTGCTCAGAGAGAGACTTCCCCGTGGGTCCGCTCCGCCCGTCACGCTGGGCCTGAGGGGGTGCAGCGCCAGGGCAGGCCCCCGTCCTGAATTAGTGTGTGCATGCGTGCGTGCATGCGTGTGCCCGTACTGAGTCTTTTTTTGGGGGGGGTCTGGTCGTGGGGCCTGAACTCTGGGCCTGGGCACTGTCCCTCAGCTCTTCAGCTCAAGGCTAGCGCTCTACCACTTGAGCCACAGCACCACTTCCGGCTTTTTTCTTTTTGCTTATGTGGTGCTGAGGAATTGAACCCAGGGCCTCATGCATGCAAGGCAAGCGCTCTACCACTGAGCCACCTTCCCAGCCCCTGTACTGAGTCTTGAACTCAGGCTCTGGGCGCCTCTGTTCACTTCCTTTGCTCCAAGTTAGAGCCACGCCTCCATTCCCCCTCTCTGGTGGCTCATGGGAGATGAGAGATTTTCCTGCCAGGGCTGGCTTCAAACCGCGATCCTCAGATCTCAGCCTCCTGAGTGGCTGGGATGGTGGGCGGGGGCCGCGGCGCCCGGCTGTGCCTCCCGATCTTTAAGCTTCCCTCTCTGAACGCGGGAACGCCAAGGCCAGATGGAGTTGGGGCGGGCCCCCCCGCCCCCCTACCTCGGTAGGAGAACCACTCCATCCAGTGCTTGAAGGCGCGCAGGCTGCAGTCGCACTCCCAGGGGTTGCCGCCCAGCTGCAGCAGCTGCAGGCCGGCCAGCGGCTCGAAGGTGAGCCGGTCCAGGCGCTGCAGGCGGTTGGAGCGCAGGGAGAGCGAGCGCAGGGCGGCCAGCCCGTCGAACAGCCCGGGCGGCAGCTGGGCCAGGCCGTTGAGCGACAGGTCCAGGTGGCGCAGGCGGGGCGCGCCGCGCAGCAGCCCGCTGTCCAGGGTCCTGATGCTGTTGTTGCGCAGCTGCAGCTCCGTCAGGTTCCCCAGGTCCCGGAAGACCGTGCCGGGCAGCTGGTCCAGGAAGTTGTTGGACAGGTCCAGGCGCTGCAGGCCGGACAGGTTGGCGAAGGCCCAGCCGGGCAGGACGCTGAGCTTGTTGTTGAGCAGCAGGAGGCTGCGGGCGGCAGCCGGCACGTCGGGGGGCACGGCGGTGAGCCCCAGCCCGCTGCAGTCCACGTCGGGGCCCTCGCAGATGCACAGGAAGGGGCAGGCAGGGGCCGCCTCGGCCGCACACAGGGCCAGCCAGCAGGTGAGCCCTGCGGGGGGCGGGCGGGTGAGGGCACTGGGAGCCCGGCTCCCACTGCTGTCCCCCCCCATAGCCGGCCAGGCCTGAGCCCCAGGACCAGCCTCACTGGCCCAGCCCCGGCGGCCCGGGGCTGCGGGGAGTGGACGCCTCAGGCCCTGTCCCCGGCTGACACCAGGCCCCAGGCTCGTGCTCAGTGAGGTGACACCTGAGCCTCTTTCTTCTGGACCAATCCGTCTCCCACTCTCCTCCAAGCCCCGGTGCTCTCCCCGCCGGTCCTGCCGGAACTGGGAGCTCTTCCCACCCGACTCCCCGCCAGGGCCAGTGGGGGGGGGAGGAGGGGGGCTCCAGGCTGGGACACCGACACTGGAAGAGGCCTCCGCCCGGCCTGGTGAATAATTCACACAGCTCCTGCTCAGGGCGGCTGGCTTGCAGGCTGACTGCCCCCTCCTCCCCCGCGAGGCCGCGCGCTGACCCCGAGAACCGCTCCTACCTCTCCCCAGCCTGGCACAGGCCCGGCCTCGGATGAGAATGATCAGCCCCGCCTGGCACAGGCCCGGCCCTCTGATGAGAATGATCAGCCCCGCGCCTCCCCTCGCACGCACCCTTCTTGTGTATCGGGTGCAGAGGCCCAGGTGGGCCCAGCCCTGAAGCCCCCCCGCCACGGACACACACACACACACACACACACACACACACACACGGGCGCTGTGAGGTGCGGAGACCAAGGCAGGACACAGGCCGGACCACCGGGCGGATGGGACGGGTGGCCCAAGGCCCGGGCATGGTGCGGCCCGCCGGCCCGGGGCCTCGGCCGACCCCTCGCCTGCCCGGCGGGCGCGCTGGCCGCAGCAGTGTGGGCACCAGCCCGCTGCCCAGCACAAGGCCCGGACACCCCGGGGAGGGGGGATGCCCGCCAAGCCCACCCGGCCCCGGGCCCCACTCACAGCACGCCGGGGGCCTCCGCAGCCCAGGCCGGGCCCCCCGCTCGGGGACGCGGCCCAGCGTCAGCATGGTGGACGTGGCCGCGCTTAGCGGCTCTGGGAGGAGAGGAGCCCGGTGTGCACACCGCCCGCCGTCAGTCCTGGGGAGGGAGGGGGGGACACGCATGGGGTTAGGAAGAGGCCGGGGTGTCTCCTTACACCCCCCTCCTGTTCCTCTAAGCCCCGAGTCCCTGGCGGCAGGGGGAGGAGAGGAGCCAGCCCCCCACGGGAGGAGAGCAGCTCGGGGTCCCCAGGCCAGGCTCTGGGGGCCCCCTCCCCTGCACCCCCGCCCCCCAGCCGCCGCGTACCATGGCCCGTGGGGGGTAGAGGCTGATGGGTGGGGAGCCCCCCACCCCGCTTCCACTGATGCTGGGGTCACGACTCCAGACCCGTCCTCCAGTGCTCGCCGTCTGTGAGAAGACTCAGCTCGGGGCTCCTGGCAGAAGGGGACAGAGCCAGGAGCAGGGTGAGGCGCGGCGGTCCCAGGTCCCAGGCCCTGTGCACGCAGGGGCCCACCCGACACAGCACTGGCTCCCGCCCTGGGCCTGCCTGCCCCACCCCGGCGGACCCCCTCGGCCTGCCCCCCGCCTTTCCCCCCCAGCCTGCCCTCCCTGCCCTGCCTCCCCGGCCTGCTCCCACCCCGGCCTGCCCCCCCCCGCCCCGTTCCTCCACCCCCCCCTCCCTGCCCAGGCCACAAGGCAAGTCAGGACTGAGTGGCAGCTCCTGCGTGGACGGCGCGTCCCCAGAGCCCATCAGCCAGCTGGAGCTGGGCTCGGAGTGGGTGTGACCCACGGCTGCCCTTGGGGGGGGGGAATCTGTGCACTGCACGGAGAGGAGTGTGCTTGCACACACTCGCATCTGCACACATGTGTGTGTGCACTCACCTGTGTGTGCTCAACCTGTGAGCATGTGCACGCACACATGTGTGCGCACGTGTGTGGACGCCTGCACACGCGTGTGCGTGTGCCTGGCAGCTTCTCGGACACGGCTCACAGGAGAACCTGGCACCAGCCTCCCTGCTGCCCACACGCGGGAAGGACGAGGGGACCTGGGTTTGAACCAGGCCCCGCACCTCCCGAGAGGCTGACGCCCACTTTGTCTTGCTTTCTGCTGGGAAGAGGGTCTCGGAACTTTCTCTGAGGATCCTCGGCCTCCCGCCCCAGCTCCCCTCGGCTCTGTGGGGCGTGCCTGTAATCCCACCACCCCAGAGACACGGGCTGGAGAAACTCCGTCTTGGGGTCGGTTCGGGCAGAAAGCACAAGACCCGCCGTGAAATGCAGCCTCGAGAGGCGCGCGTGGGTGATATGTGTCTGCGGCAGCCCCGTTTGCTGCTGCTGTTTGGTTGTTGGTTGTTGGTTTTCTTTTTGGACAGTTGTAGGTTTGAATTCTGGGCCTCACGATTGCTAGGTCGGCACTCTGCCACTGGACCAAGGCTCTGGCCGTGTGTGTGTGTGTGTGTGTGTGTGTGTGTGTGTGTGTGTGTGTGTGCAAGCACTGGTTATGATTCTGAGGCCCTGGGCACACGGCTGGACCTCGGTCCTCCTATTTCAGCCTTCCTGATTGCAGGGGGTTCAGGGCGTGCACCACCACACCGGGCATCTTTTCCCAGGCATGGACTCCCTGTGGGCTTTCCCGCCCAGAGCCTTGACTCTCTCCGTCCCAGGTCCCACGGAGCTCAGCCTGACAGGTGCCCACACCCCTGCCCACTACAGGCTGAGCTGGGGGTCTTGCAAACTTCTCTGTCCCAGGCTGGCCTCCAAGAGAGATCCTCTCCTCTTGGGCCTCCTGGGTAGCTGACGGCCATGTGGGCCCCTACCTCCCCCTGGTGGGAGGGGGGGTGAGTGAGAGGCCTTCCTGGTTGAGGGGCTGGCTCCGGGCTGGGGGCTCTGGGGAGGAAGGCCGGGGGGGGGGGGGGGGTGGGAAGAGGCCACAGCCTGGGGAGGGAGGGGAGGAGAAGGTCCAGCCTGGGGAGGGAGGGGGGAGGAGGCCACAGCCTGGGGACGCCCGCCCGGAGGGGGCTGCTTCCCTCCTTCCTGTCCCTGGGCCCCGAGGGGTCCCCAAGGGAGGGCTTGGGCTCGGGGCCTCCAGCCGCGGCAGTGCCCCTGGCTGCCGCCACCTGTCAGGCCAGAGGCCTTCTAGGAATCGGTTCAGAGCAATGCCCAGGCAGCGGGACTAAAACCAGCTCCAGATCTGTGCTGGCAGCAGAGCCCCCTCCCTCCCCCTCCCTCCCCTCCTCCCTCCCCTGCCCTTCCCTCCCGTTCCCTTAGAACACCTGCTCTGCTCCTGCCAGCTTCCTGCACCTACCCCTCCCTGGCAGATCCCTGTCCCAGGCTGACCCCCCATCACAGCTAGAAGGCCTGAGTTTCCCCTGAAGCCCTGAACCCCCGGAGCCGGGCCAGCTCACCTCGGCAAAGACACAGGGCGGGGGCAGGATGCAGGGCCCGGGCAGGATGGGTGCGGGGAGGCCGGGTCTCCGGCCCTGCCAGCCCCTCCCCTGCCCTCCCCCATGCAGGACGGGGAAGGACCGGTCACCTTGGCCCCCAGACGCCGCTCCCGGCCCACTGCAGCCGGCCTCCTTGCCGCCGCCCCCAGCCCCCCCAGCCCGGCTTTCCTGATCTCCCTCTCCTGGCAGATCTGGAGCCTTCCGTCGCGGAGGGGGGGCTGGGGGGGGGTCGGGCTTCCCCACCAGCTGAGCCCCAGAGCCACGTGTGGGCTTATCTAACTTATCTAAACTGCCGCACACACAGCTGCCCCCCAGCCCTGCCCGCCCCCCACGCCCGCACCCCCGCGCCCCTGCTCCTGCACCCCACACCCATCCCCAACGCCCCTGCCCCCCCGCGGACCTGCCCCCCAGCCCTGCCCGCCTCCCCCCACACCCTCACGGCCTGCGCCCCTGATCCAGCCCCCACCCCTGCCCCCCACGCTCCCGTACCCCCACATCCCTGCCCCCCCCTGCACCCCATGCTCCTGTTCCCCCACCCCTGCCCCTGTGCCCCTGAACACCATGCACTTCACCCCCATGCCCCCCACACCAGCCAGACACAGGGCAGAAGAAGCCAGGTTCTCAGCTCCAGCCAGGGGTTTGCAGCCAGGGGCCGTGGCCTGGGCACCGAAGCCGGTGCCCCAGCCTGCCCCCCCAGCCCTGCTCCCCCAGCCTGTCCCCCCAGTCCTGCCCCCCCAGTCCTGCCCCCCCAGTCCTGCCACCCCAGCCTGCTCCCCCAGCCTGCCCCCCCAGTCCTGCCCCCCCAGCCCTGCCCCCCCAGCCCTGCCGCCCCAGCCCTGCCGCCCCAGCCTGCTCCCCCAGCCTGCTCCCCCAGTCCTGCCACCCCAGCCTGTCCCCCCAGTCCTGCCACCCCAGCCTGTCCCCCCAGTCCTGCCACCCCAGCCGGTGCCCCAGCCTGCCCCCCCAGCCCTGCCGCCCCAGCCCTGCCGCCCCAGCCTGCCCCCCCAGCCCTGCCGCCCCAGCCTGCCCCCCAGTCCTGCCCCCAGCCTGCCCCCCCAGCCCTTCCGCCCCAGCCTGCCCCCCCCAGCCCTGCCGCCCCAGCCTGCCCCCCCAGCCCTGCTCCCGCAGCCTGCCCCCCCAGCCTGCTCACAGCTGGCCGCCCCAGCCCTGCCCCCCCAGCCCTGCCCCCCCCAGCCTGTCCCCCCAGCCTGCCCCCCCAGCCTGCCCACAGCTGGCCGCCCCACTGGGCCTTTGGGTGAGCGGGAAGCGGGTTGGGGGCCACACCCCCACGGGGACAGTCCCCACCCCAGCAGGCGTTCAAGGACAGCCCCAGCCCAGGGCGACCGTGGAGGGGGCAGCCGGGTGCTCCCAGCGCACCCACCCCACTCCCAAGCCTGGCCCCGGCCCAGGGCGCCAGACCCCCCCTTCCTCCAGCACCCAAGTTCTGGGGCAGCCGCGCCAGCCGGGCGCACGCAGTGCCCTGCTCAGCTCCGTCTCCTGGAGCGGCCGGTTTCTATGCCACCCGGGGCTCCAGCCCCCCTCCCCTCCCCCGCCCCCAGCCCCAGGGGTCCGTGTTCTACCTTTGGGGTGCCCAGGCGTCCGGCCCCGTCCCCACTCCACAGCTTCCCCCCCCCCCCCCGCACGGGGTCGCCGTGTGGGGCTGGAGCGCCGCCAGGGTCCCCGCCCCCCACCCCCTCCCGCCCCCCCACCCCTCCCGGCCCCCCCACCCCCTCCCCGGCCCCCCACCCCTCCCCATCCCCACTCACCTCAGCCCAGCCGTGGACGGATCTGGAGCTGGAAATGCAGACGCCGCCGCCAGGCAGCCAGCACACCGCGCGGCCCCGATCCGCCCCGGTGGGGGGGGGGGTCACTGTTGGGGGGCCAGGGGCCGGGCCGGGCCGGGGACCGCGGCTGGCAGTGAGCTGAGAGGCAGAGGAGGAGGAGGAGGGATGGAGGACACCGGAGAGGAGGCGCGTGTGCACCGGGGAGGGGGGGGGGAGCAGGAGGGAGGGCGGGGGGAGGGCTGCGGGGAGTGACAGCCTGGGAGCAGCCCGGAGGCCGCAGCGCCCGGCCCCGGCTCACATTTCAGTGGAAAGATGCGGGAGCCGTGGCTCCCGCGCCGGCGCTGGCACCGCCATGTTGCGCCCTGGGGCTCCCCGGCTCCCCTCCCGGCTGCTGCTTTTCTCCCTGTATCTACTGAGAGGCCCAGGGCCGGAAGGCAGAGCCCCAGAGCACCCGCGGAGCCAGGCTGGGGCTTGCCCACACACGGGGTGCAGGAAGAGGGACTTGGAGGTGCCTAGGGGTGCGGGGGTGGCAGAGAACTCCCCAGAAAGGAGCCCCAAAGCCAGAGGTCATGGGGGGACCATCGAGGGGTGCCTGTTCCTGAGAAGGGTTTGGGGGGGAGCAGAGAGCGGAGCGGAGGCTGGGCTACCGGGAGTGGAAGGCGGCGTCTCTGGACCGTCCACGGGCTCTGAGCCCCGGATCCCCTCCAACCCAGCCTGGCTCCCCGCGCTCCACTCCACAGAAGCTGAGACAGAGTCAGCAAGACAGGACAGCGAGGGGACAGCTCCCCCCCCCCCCCCCCGCCCCCGGAGCGGGCCCCAGCCCAGCGTGGATGCGTCGGCCTCTCCAATGCTCTCCCTGCCCAGATGCCCCGTCCCGTCCTCCCCTCCCCGCCTCCCCGTCCTGTCCTCCCCTCCGCCCTCCCCATCCGGTCCTCTCCTCCTGTCCTCCCCTCCCGGCCTCCCCATCCTGGCCTCCCCTCCGCCCTCCCCGTCCCGTCCTCCCCTCCCGCCCTCCCCTCCCGGCCTCCCCTCTGCCCTCCCCGTCCCGTCCTCCCCTCCGCCCTCCCCGTCCCGTCCTCCCCTCCCGCCCTCCCCTCTGCCCTCCCCGTCCCGTCCTCCCCTCCTGGCCTCCCCTCCGCCCTCCCCTCCCAGCCTCACCCCAGCGTGGCCCCGGCTAGCCCACGCTGGGCCTCACCGTCCTGGGACGGTGGCCACGCTGGGGCCTGGCGCGGGGCCGTGGCCTCTGCCCCCGATGGTGTGGAGCAGTGTGGCGGAGGGACCTCCAGACCGGTCAGGGTGAGCATGTGTGTGTGCACACGTGCGTGAGCTCGCGGGCCTGCCGCCGGTCCGTGTCCGTGGACACCGACACAGCTGTCTTCCTCGGGCGTCCTTAGCTGACAGCCCGGATGCGGGAAGGACATTCATCCTGACCGGCCGCCGCCGCCTGTTGTCTGGAGCCTTTCTCGCCGGAGGCTACTGTGGTGGGGCGGCGGGGGGAGGGCAGCCGGGGCAGGAGGAAGGGGTAGAGGGGGCGGGGTGGGAGGAAGGGGTCAGAAGGTCCAGGCCACACTGGGCAGGCCGGGCACCGGACAGCCTCTCCCCAGGGTCCTCATTTCAGGCAGACGCTCCAGGAAGGCCTCTGGCCGGAGCCCCAGGGGGCCATGGGCTTCGAGGGGCCGAGCCCCCCCGCCCCATCCCCATCCCAGGGCTCCTGGGTAATCTCATCAGGTCCTGGACTCCCCGCCCGCTGGAAGGGACTGGAAAATAACCAACGCAAAGCCAACCGGAGGCATGGCTCGAGCGGCAGAGCTCCTGCCTAGAAATGCAAGGCCAAATTCGGTCCCCTAGGACCAGCAAAAAATAATAAGTAAAACTCTGAAGGCGTGGCTGGGAACGTGGCCTTGGAGAGGAAACAAAGAAAGCACAATTGATAAGCTGAATTATAGGAGTCTTTATTGTGGTGGCCGGGGCATGCGCCTCCCAAATCTTGCTGCCCGGGCCAGCTCGGAGCTGGTCTTCTCAAGATAAAAGCCACAGGCCTTCAAGGTGACGGTGTCCCCCGTCTTGTGTGGCTGTACAGAAGCGAGAACCGGCGTGGTGAGCAGGTCTAGGCCACCCCCCCCCCCCCCCACCGGCGGACGGAGCATCTTGGGGGTTTTCACAGCACCGGCTTGAACAAAACAACTTATGGCTTTTTACAGCCCTCTCAGCAGACGATAGCTCTGGGCGGGGCCTCTCTCTTTGGGTGAACGGCTTTATTTCTGTCAGGCCTTCCACTTAAGGACAGAACCTGCTTTGGCCTAGCACTCACGAAGCCCGGGGTTCAATTCCTCAGCACCACAGGAAAAGCTGGACGTGTGCTGTGGCTCGAGTGGTAGACCGCTCGCCTTGAGCCACAGAAGCTCAGGGTCAGCGCCCAGGCCCTGAGTTCAAGCACCAGGACTGGCATGAAAGAAAAAGAAAGGAAAAGGAGGGGTGGACTGGCTCTGTGTGTGTGGGGGGGGATACTGGACAACCAAGCTACGTGGGCTCCCGTGTCCGAGGGGGAGACAGAGGCCAGGTGTGGAAGAGGCCTGGGCCGCGCCTGGCGTGGGGGTGGAGGGAGGAGGCGGGAGGAGCCCGGGCCAGGGCCGGGCTCTGTCCTCCTAGCTGCCCGTCTGGGCTGCGGTCAGCGTAAAGCGAGGGTGCGCGTGGGGTACGGACTGCTCACGTAGGCGGCTCCCGGCCCTCCCCACCGGCCCACCTGTGTTTCCGGCATTAGCCGGCAGACGCCACGTGGCCGGCGGCGTGGGAAGCTCCTCCTCGGCCCCGCGGCCTCCCCGCTCTGTTCCTGGGCTGCGTCTTCCTGGGGTTCTCTGTCCCAGATTCCGCTGCGTGCGTGAACGCGCTGCCGGGGTTCTCCCGGAGAATGTGGGGATCAAAGGGATGGACATCAAGGTGACCCCACCCCCGGGCCTTGGGGCAGAGCGGGTGCCACGGGGTATCACACCTGCCACAGCTGAGCTGAGACTCTGGGCTCCGGCCTCCGACTCCGCCCGGCTCCCCCACAGCCATGGAGAGCTGGGGTTCCCATTGGAGGCCAGGGTTGTGGACCCTGCCCGCCCTGCGGGCGTCCAAGGGCCGTGGGCAGCCGCGTGCTCGGCGCTCAGGCCCCCCCACCTGCCCGCCTCCCCTCCTCCCTGTAACCTAGCTCTGTTTCCTCCCCCCCACTCGCCCCCGCCACCCGCCACCGTCCCCAAAACACACGCCGCCCCCCCGCCTGCCCGCAGCCGTGGGCGTCCAGATGCGGGTGGACCTCCTCCGGAGCCTGTTCGGGAAGGCCACGCAACAGGTAAGGGCTGACGCGGGCCGCGGCAGGGGCTGGGGGGCCCGCGTCTGCTCCCAGCCCCCACCCGTGCTCCCCCACGCAGACGCTGGGCCAGAGCCGCCAACGCCCCAAGATGCCCGGCCTCCCGCACCCCCAGACCACAGCCCAACACTGGGCCGCGGCGCCCCAAGCCCGGCCCCAGGCACCTGTTCTCAGCCGAGCCACGGAGATACACGCGTGCACACACCCCGGGTGGCACTCCCCGCACACGCACACCAGCGGGACCCTGGACATGTAACAGGCAGACGCACACCCCACACACACCCCCGCCGTGTTCACAGGCCGCACGCACGCAGCACGCACGGTTCACCCCACGCACACACTGCGTGTACGCGAGCCCGCACGGCCGCCGGCACGCACCCCGGGCACACAGGCGTGCGTGCGGGCAGATGCCGACCGACCATCCCTACTTCTCCCCCGCAGTGCGGCGCTATGGACCCACCCTGCCCGGAGAGCTGTGAGGTGCTTCCCGCACAGGGGGGGCGGGGGGGGGGGACCGGGCCTCATCCGTGCTTCCCGCGCGGGGGGGGGGGGGAGGAGGGGGACCGGCCTCGTCTGTGCTTCCCACGCGGGGGGTGGGGGGGACCGGGCCTCGTCTGTGCTTCCCACGCAGGGGGGGGGGGGGACCGGGCCTTGTCTGTGCTTCCCATGTGGGGGGGGGGGAACCGGCCTTGTCTGTGCTTCCCGCGTGGGGGGAGGGGGACCGGCCCGGTCCATGCTTCCTGTGGGGGGGGAGGGGGAGGGGGACCGGCCTCGTCCCCGGGCCCCACCCCTCGGAGGCCGGGCCGCCTGGCCCTGGCTCAGCACCCCTCTCCCCCCCAGGGTCTGGACTGCTACATCATCGACAACAACGCCTTCATCCTGGTGTCCGCCAGGCCTCAGGAGGTGAGCCGCGGGGCGGGGCGTGGCGCCCACAGCCCCACAGAGCCCAGCGGGCGTGGCGTGTCCGCGGGGCAGGGCGGCAGGGGCGCCCTCTGCGCCTGAGTGCTCGCAAGTCGGTGTGGAGCACACTTGGCTCGCGTGTGTGTGTGGGCGTGTGTGCACCTGGGTGTGCAGGCCTGTGCCAGTCCTGGGACTTGAACCCAGGGCCTGAGCTTTACACTCAAAAGCTCGGGCCCCGTCACAAGCGCCACTTCCGGTTTTCTGGGGGTTCATTGGAGATGAGAGTCTCACGGACTTTCGTGGCCGGGCTGGCTTTGAACCGCGATCCTCAGCTCTCAGCGTCCTGAGTGGCTGGGACAGCAGGCGTGAGCACCGGCGCCCGCGGGCCCGCTGCCCGCGACCCCCGCGCTGCGACCCCCGCGCTGCGACCCCGCTGCCCGCGACCCCGCTGCCCGCGACCCCCGCTGCCCGCGACCCCGCTGCCCGCGACCCCCGCTGCCCGCGACCCCGCGCTGCGACCCCGCGCTGCGACCCCGCTGCCCGCGACCCCGCTGCCCGCGACCCCGCTGCCCGCGGCCCCGCTGCCCGCGGCCCCCGCTGCCCGCGACCCCCGCTGCCCGCGACCCCGCTGCCCGCGACCCCGCTGCCCGCGACCCCGCGCTGCGACCCCCGCTGCCCGCGACCCCGCTGCCCGCGACCCCGCTGCCCGCGACCCCGCGCTGCGACCCCCGCTGGCTGAGGCCCCGCTGCCCGCGACCCCGCTGCCCGCGACTCCGCGCTGCGACCTCGCTGCCCGCGACCCCCGCTGGCCGAGGCCCCGCTGCCTGTGGCCTCTCCCCCGCACAGCCGCCGAGGTGGCTGGGAACAGCAAGTTTCCCAGCCGCTGCCCGCGGCCCCACTGGCCGAGGCCCCGCTGCCTGTGACCCCCGCTGCCTGTGACCCCGCTGCCTGTGACCCCCGCTGCCTGCGACCCCCGCTGCCTGTGACCCCTCTGCCCGAGGCCCCGCTGCCCGCGACCCCCGCTGCCCGCGGCCCCACTGCCCGCGACCCCCGCTGCCCGCGGCCCCGCTGGCCGAGGCCTCTCTCCCCCATGGCCTCCGAGGTGGCGGGAACAGAGAGTTCCCCAGCCGCTGACTCCCAGACGTTTGCCTGCCTAGATTCCAGCCGCGTTCTCCTCGCCTCCTGAGGACGTTTGCAAATCATCCCGCACCCTTCCTGACATAAACAGGGCATAGTGAAATAACCTTCTAGGAGCTTCTGCAGAGCCCGGGGCTCCCAACTCAGACACTGTCCGCTTTGACTCCGGAGGGGGAGGGGGGGACCGTGGAGGCTCGGCAAGGTTTGGAGATCAACCCCGAGGCCACGGCTACAGAACAGCCCAGGCTCCGCGGAGTGCACAGCGCAGCGATGTACAGGAACATTCTAGAACAGATCCGGTGGAGAGGCAGGCCGAGCGGGAGAAGGGTCTGACAGCATCTGAGTGTCCGCAGGCAGGCTGCTGTCCGGAGGATGCCCTGGACGCGGTCAGCCTTGCCAGCGGGAAGCCATGTCCAGGCTGGCGGGGGCCACGGGACCCACCAGGCCAGTGGACAGCCCGGCCCCGGTGCCGTCCCCTTCCGTCTGTCCATCTCTCCATCTGTCCGTCTGTCTGTTCTCGCTTGACACTAAGATGGTCCGTTCACACCGACTCTGGGGCAGGGCAGCCACAGAGCTCCTGGCTCAGAGCCGCTGGACAGGGCACCCCAAAACCGGCGGCCTGAAGCCCCAGGTTGACAACCGCCCCGTTTCTGAGGACCAGGAGCTCTGGGTGGACAGGGACGTCCCCAGCGAACCACCAAAAGAAACATAAAAAGCCAGACGTGGCTCAGCGTGGTGGCGCGCTGGCCTCGAGTGGGGAGCGCTCAGGGGCAGCGCCTGCCCGGCCCTGAGTTCAAGACCCACGGAAGGAGGGAGGGAGGGAGGGGGGAGGGAGGGAGAGAGGAGGGGGGAGAAGCAGCCCTGAGGGCCGGAAGTGTGCTTGTGACCACCCCCTGCCTCTCCAGTTTCACAAGCACTACACTAAGTTTATCCGCTGTTCAAGGGAAAGAAGCTTCTAGAAGCTTCTGCCAGAGCCCTAAGCTTTGATCTTTGGCTCTGAGTCTGCCCTGGTGGCCACCCAGGAGGTGAGACCTCACCAGCCACCAGACCCGGGACTGGCAGGGAAAGGCCAGGCCCGCCACCCCTCACCCCTGCCGGGCCAGGCCCGCCACTCCTCACCCCTGCCGGGCCAGGGCCCGCCACCCCTCACCCCTGCCCGGCCAGGGCCCGCCACCCCTCACCCCTGCCGGGCCAGGGCCCGCCACCCCTCACCCCTGCCGGGCCAGGGCCCGCCACCCTCACCCCTGCCCGGCCAGGGCCCGCCACCCCTCACCCCTGCCGGGCCAGGGCCCGCCACCCCTCACCCCTGCCGGGCCAGGGCCTGCCACCCCTCACCCCTGCCCAGCCAGGGCCCGCCACCCTCACCCCTGCCCGGGCAGGGCCTGCCACCCCTCACCCCTGCCGGGCCAGGGCCCGCCACCCTCACCCCTGCCGGGCCAGGGCCCGCCACCCTCACCCCTCACCCCTCACCCCTCACCCCTGCCGGGCCAGGGCCTGCCACCCCTCACCCCTGCCGGGCCAGGGCCCGCCACCCTCACCCCTGCCGGGCCAGGGCCCGCCACCCTCACCCCTCACCCCTCACCCCTGCCGGGCCAGGGCCCCTCCGCTTCACCTCGCTCACTCACACAGACCCCGTCCCATTCTCCAAGGGGAAACCGGCAGGGATGCCACGTGGCGTGGCCGTGTTCTCTCCGGGATCTGGGGGCACAGGCCAATGAACTGGGGCCCTGGGGGGGGGGCCCACAGTGGGAGCCTGATTAGCTGTGAGTTCTTGGCTGCCGGGGTGCGTCTGCCCTTCCCGGGGTATGTCTGCCCTTCCCGGGGTGCGTCTGCCCTTCCCGGGGTGCATCTGCCCTTCCCGGGGTATGTCTGCCCTTCCCGGGGTGCGTCTGCCCTTCCCGGGGTGCGTCTGCCCTCTGGGGTGCGTCTGCCCTCTGGGGTGCGTCTGCATCTGGGGTGCGTCTGTCCTCTGGGGTACGTCTGCATCTGGGGTGCGTCTGCCCTCTCGGGTGCGTCTGCCCTCTGGGGTGCGTCTGCATCTGGGGTGCGTCTGCCCTTCCCGGGGTGCGTCTGCCCTCTGGGGTGTGTCTGCATCTGGGGTGCGTCTGTCCTCTGGGGTGCGTCTGCCCTTCCCGGGGTGCGTCTGCCCTCTGGGGTGCGTCTGCGTCGGGTGCATCTGCGTCTGGGGTGCTGCCTGGCGGGGCCTGGCCTCCTCAGCGTCCTCAGCTCCCAGATCCTGTGCCCCCCTCTCCCCCCCATTTATGGGCGGGCCTTGCCCTGTGCCGGGTGCGGTGGGGTGCGGCGACCCTGCCTGCGGGGCTCTCAAAATTCACTGCCAGGCACCGACTCCCCCACCCTGGCTGGACACGGTGACAGCACAGCCAGGGGAAGCCCGCGGGGCAGCGAGCCTTCCAGACAAAGGGGAGGCTGGCCGACAGCGCCGCCCCTCCCTTTAAGCAAACTCCCAGACGCCCCTTCTGGTGACTGCTCACACGTAACTGGCCAGCCAGTGCACCTTGGGTGCAAGGTCTTCTGGGAAACGTAGTCTTTCCATCCCACCCGGCAGCACTGGGCTGGCACTGGGCCCGACTGGCACAGGGGCTGGGGGCAGGGGCGAGGAGGGGGAGAGGGGACAGACGCAGGAAGCAGCTTCCGTGACCCCATGCCCCCTCTCCCCCCTCCCTGCCCCTCCCTGTCTGCACCCACACCCTCTCCCTGTCCCTCCCCCCCCCTTCACAGACAGGACGATTTCTGGGGCAGGTGGACGGTGCCCTCATGGCCCAGCTGCTGGACATGGGTGTGTTCAGCCAGTAAGCAGCCCCTCCTGAACCTAGGCAGTCCAGATAGAGCCCCCAAAGCGGCCCTTCAGGCCTGCGGGGGGGGGTGGTAAGCAGGGGTGCGGCACCCCAAGCCCCCTCCAGTCCTGAGCCAGCCAGGGCCCCCAACACACGCGTGCACTGAGCTGCCGGCCCCGACACGCAAGCACTGGGTCCTGAGCAGAGGCCGGGCGTGGCCCCAGCCTCCCCGACCACCTCTGACCCCCAGGGTGACCATGTACGACTACCAGGCCATGTGCAAGGCCCCGGCCCAGCGGCCCAGTGCCGCCCATCCCCTGGCCAGCGTGAGTGTCACCCTGCCCCCCCCACCATACTGCCCACCCAGGCCTGGGGCCCGTCCCGCCCCCCCCCCGCCCCCCCCCACCCCGCCATGCTGCCCGCCCGGGCCTGGGGCCAGTCCCGCCCCCCATGCTGCCCGCCCGGGCCTGGGGCCAGTCCTGCCCCCCCCCATGCTGCCCGCCTGGGCCTGGGGCCAGTCCCGTCCCCCCCATGCTGCCCGCCTGGGCCTGGGCCCCCCACCCCACCATGCTGCCCACCCGGGCCTGGGCCCCCCCCTCCGCCATGCTGCCTGGGCCCCCACCCTCCGCCATGCTGCCCGCCCGGGCCTGGGGCCGGTCCTGCCCCCCCATCAGGCTGTCACGGGGAGGGTGGGCTTGGAGGAGCGCATCCTGACCCCCCGGGGCCGTCTGTAGGGGCCAGCCCACGCTGGGGATGTGCAGCGTGGAGGGCGGCCCTGCTCCGCGGCCTGCCTGACGCGCTCTGCCCTTCACAGCCGCTCTCCGCCTGCCTCGCCGTGGCTCGCTGGCTGATGCATGAGCTGCTGCTGTGAGTGCGGCCTGCGGCCTCCCGCGTCCCCCCTGCGCCCCTCCCGCGTCCTCCCGCGTCCCCCCTGCGCCCCTCCCGCGTCCTCCTGCGTCCCCCCTGCGCCCCTCCCGCGTCCTCCCGCGTCCCCCCTGCGGCCCTCCCGCGTCCCCCCTGCGGCCCTCCCGCGTCCCCCCTGCGGCTCTCCCGCGTCCCCCCTGCGGCCCTCCCATGTCCTTCCTGTGGCCCCCTCCCCATCTGGCCTCCACACACACCTGTAGGGAGGAGGGGGAGGAGGGGTGGGGGAGGAGAGGGAGGAAGGGGAGGAGGGGCAGGGAGGTGGGGGAGGAGGAGTAGGGAGGAGGGGGAGGAGGGGGAGGAGGGGCAGGGAGGAGGGGAGGAGGGGTAGGGAGGAGGGGGAGGAGGGGGAGGAGGGGCAGGGAGGAGGGGAGGAGGGGGAGGAGGGGCAGGGAGGAGGGGAGGAGGGGGAGGAGGGGCAGGGAGGAGGGGAGGAGGGGGAGGAGGGGCAGGGAGGAGGGGAGGAGGGGGGCGGAGGAGGGGGAGGAGTGGGAGGAGGGGAGGAGGGGAGGAGGGGCGGGGAGGAGGGGGAGGAGGGGGAGGAGTGGGAGGAGGGGAGGAGGGTCGGGGAGGAGGGGGAAGAGGGGCAGGGAGGAGGGGCAGGGAGGAGGGGGAGGAGGGGAGGAGGGGCAGGGAGGAGGGGAGGAGGGGCGGGGAGGAGGGGCGGGGAGGAGGGGGAGAAGGGGGAGGAGTGGGAGGAGGGGGAGGAGGGGCAGGGAGGAGGAGGGGGAGGAGGGGGAGGAGGGGAGGAGGGGCGGGGAGGATGGAGGAGGGGCGGGGAGGAGGGGAGGAGGGGCAGGGAGGAGGAGAGGGAGGAGGGGCGGGGAGGAGGGGGAGGAGGGGAGGAGGGGCGGGGAGGAGGGGGAGGAGGGGAGGAGGGGCGGGGAGGAGGGGGAGGAGTGGGAGGAGGGGAGGAGGGAGGAGGGGCGGGGAGGAGGGAGGAGGGGCGGGGGCCGGGAGGAGGCCCGGCGGGGAGTGTCAGCTGTCCGTGCGTCTGTCCGTGCGTCCGTCCGCAGGTCCCTGCTGGAGTGGAGCTCCTGGGGCTCCTGGCTGGACAGAGGGGCAGAGGGTGAGTCGGGGTCTCTGGTCAGGGCGTGGTCAGCGCGGGGGGGGGGGGGGGTCATCGCTCACCATCTCACACCGCCCCCCCCATCGCCCCCCGCCCGACCCCCACCTGTCACCTGGGGACCTCACGGGACCCCATCCGTCCCATGACATCACCGCGGTCACGGGACTCCATCATCCTGCGACATCACCGCCCCTCAACGTCATTGTCCTGTGATGTTATCGCCACCTGTGACCTCGTCATGCGACATCACCACCCACGTCACCTCGCCCTGTGATGTCATCCCTGCCCTGTGACGTCATCCTGTGACATCACCACCCGCAACACCCTCACCCTGTGACGTCATCCTGTGACATCACCACCCTCACCCTGTGACGTCATCACTGCCCTGTGGCGTCATCGTCACCCTGTGACATCACCCCCCCACATCACCCTCGCCGCCTCCCTGACACCGCGGCCCCCCGTGTGGCCCGGTCCCATCCCGCGCCTCACTCACCCTGGGCCCGGCGGGTCCCTGGGCAGCCAAAGCCGTCTTCCATCACTGTGAGTGGCTCTGGCCGGGGCGGGGCGGGGGGCGGGGCCTGGGGCTGTCTGGGGGCGGGGCCTGGGGCCACCGGGGGGCGGGGCCTGGGCGGGGCTGTCGGGGGCGGGGCCTGGGGCTGCCTGGGGCGGGGCCTGGGGCTGCCTGGGGCGGGGGGCTGCCGGGGGCGGGGCCTGGGGCTGCCTGGGGCGGGGGGCTGTCCAGGGGCGGGGCCTGGGGCTGCCTGGGGCGGGGGGCTGTCCAGGGGCGGGGCCTGGGGCTGCCTGGGGCGGGGGCTGTCCGGGGGCGGGGCCTGGGGCTGTCTGGGGGCGGGGCCTGGGGCTGCCTGGGGCGGGGGGCTGGGGCTGCCTGGGGCGGGGGGCTGCCGGGGGCGGGGCCTGGGGCTGCCTGGGGCGGGGGGCTGGGGCTGCCTGGGGCGGGGGGCTGTCCGGGGGCGGGGCCAGGGCGGGTCTGGGGTTGTCTGGGGCCGGCCCTCTGCGCCCCGTGCCCGGCCGGGGCCCCACGCGCCCCCGCGGGGCTCTGGTCTCCGAGGGGCGGTGCCCTGGCGGGCCGAGGCCCTGGCGGCCAGGGGTCCCCCGGCCCCGGACGCCACCACAACGGCCCCCTCCGGCCCCGCCACAGCGCACAAGCACAAGAAGCAGGACGTGCTGCACCCCTGCGACACCGAGTACCCGGTGTTCGTGCACCAGGCGGCCGCGCGCCAGGCCAGCGGGGCCATCCCGTGCGGGGCCTGCTGGAAGTAAGTCCGCCCCGGCCCCGCCCAGCCACGCCCACGCCCTGCCCGCCCCGGCCACACCCCCACCCAGCCACGCCCACGCCCAGCCACGCCCTGCCCCCCTGGCCACACCCCCTGTGCTCCAGCCAAGCCCCCAGCTTGCTCTGGCCGCGCCCCCACCTGTGTCCCGTCACGCCCCCAGCTTGCTCCGGCCGCGCCCCCAGCTTGCTCCGGCCGCGCCCCCAGCTTGCTCCGGCCGCGCCCCCAGCTTGCTCCGGCCGCGCCCCCAGCTTGCTCCGGCCGCGCCCCAGCTTGCTCCGGCCGCGCCCCCAGCTTGCTCCGGCCGCGCCCCCAGCTTGCTCCGGCCGCGTCCCCAGCTTGCTCCGGCCGCGCCCCCACCTGTGTCCTGTCACGCCCCCAGCTTGCTCCGGCCGCGCCCCCAGCTTGCTCCGGCCGCGCCCCGCAGAGCTCGGGCAGGGCGGGCTCCTTGGGGGCCCAGCCCGGGCCGCGCTGCTCCCGCAGGCCCACCGCGTCTCCACCCGAGTTCAGGAGCCGCGTCCCCCCGACGCCCTCGGACTGGCCCGGGCACGTCCGTGTGTCCGCGCCGCGTCTGTGTCCATGTGCCACGTGTGTCCGTGCACCACGTGCTGCGTGTGTCCATGAATTGTCCGTGCTGCCTGTGTCCGTGTGTCTGTGCCGCGTGTGTCCGTGCTGTGTCTGTGCTGGCTGTGTCCGTGCTGTATCCGTGCTGTGTCCGTGCTGTGTCCGTGCTGCCTGTGTCCGTGCTGTGTCCCTGCTGTGTCCGTGCTGCCTGTGTCCGTGCTGTGTCCGTGCTGCCTGTGTCCGTGCTGTGTCCGTGCTGTGTCCGTGCTGCCTGTGTCCATGCTGTGTCCGTGCTGTGTCCATGCTGTGTCCGTGCTGTGTCCGTGCTGCCTGTGTCCATGCTGTGTCCGTGCTGTGTCCGTGCTGTGTCCGTGTGTCCGTGCTGTGTCCGTGCTGTGTCCGTGCTGCCTGTGTCCGTGCTGTGTCCGTGCTGTGTCCGTGCTGTGTGTGTCCGTGCTGTGTCCGTGCTGTGTGTGTCCGTGCTGTATCTGTGTTGCCTGTGTCAGTGCTGTGTCCGTGCTGTGTCCGTGCTGTGTCCGTGCTGTGTCCGTGCTGTGTCTGTGTTGCCTGTGTCTGTGCTGTGTCCGTGCTGTGTCCGTGCTGTGTCCGTGCTGTGTGTGTCCGTGCTGTGTCTGTGTTGCCTGTGTCCGTGCTGTGTCCGTGCTGTGTCCGTGCTGTGTCCGTGCTGTGTCTGTGTTGCCTGTGTCTGTGCTGTGTCCGTGCTGTGTCCCTGCTGTGTCCCTGCTGTGTCCGTGCTGTGTCCGTGCTGTGTGTGTCCGTGCTGTGTCCGTGCTGCGTGTGTCCGTGCTGTGTCCGTGCTGCCTGTGTCCGTGCTGTGTCCGTGCTGTGTGTGTCCGTGCTGTGTCCGTGCTGTGTGTGTCCATGCTGTGTCCGTGCTGTGTCCGTGCTGTGTGTGTCCGTGCTGTGTCCGTGCTGTGTCCGTGCTGCGTCCGTGCTGTGTGTGTCCGTGCTGTGTCCGTGCTGCATGTCCGTGCTGCATGTCCGTGCTGCATGTCCGTGTGCTGCGTGTGTCCGTGCTGCATGTCCATGCGCTGCGTGTCCATGCACTGCCTGTGTCCGTGTGCTGCGTGTGTCCGTGTGCTGTGTGTCCGTGCGCTCCGTGTCCGTGCTGCCTGTCTGTGCTGCCTGTGTCTGTGCTGCGTGTGTCCGTGCTGCCTGTGTCTGTGCTGCGTGTCTGTGCTGCCTGTGTCCGTGCTGCCTGTGTCCATGCACTGCCTGTGTCCATGCACTGCCTGTGTCCGTGCTGCCTGTGTCCGTGCTGCCTGTGTCTGTGCTGCGTGTGTCCGTGCTGCCTGTGTCCATGCACTGCCTGTGTCTGTGCTGCCTGTGTCCATGCACTGCCTGTGTCCGTGCTGCCTGTGTGAACGTGCGGATGCCAGTCTGGGGTTCTCAGCCTCCTGGTGCAAATGCAGCCAAGTGTGGGCACCGGGCGCCACCTTGTGGTCAGCCTGGGAGCTGCGCCCTCCCTGTGCCCTCCCCCGTGTGTGGGGGCGCGCGGAGCCCAGCTGGGGTCCCCCAGCCCCCCCCCAGCCCCCGGCCCCTGTCCCACCCCAGATCTTCCCCTGAGCCCCACCCCCACCCCCTCTGCTGCAGGGCGTTTGCGATGCAACAGATCCCCCGCAGCAACCTCCTCCTGCTGGCCACTGACCCGGACTGCAGCTGCAGTGACTTCCCACCCATCCTGCGGGAGGCCGCGGAGGTCAGATATATCCTGTCCTGTGGGGGGGGTCACGGAGGTCAGATATATCCTGTGTCCTGTGGGGGGGGGTCACAGAGGTCAGCTCTGTCCTGTGTCCTGTGGGGGAGTCACGGAGGTCAGATATACCTGTGTCCTATGGGGGGGTCACAGAGGTCAGCTCTGTCCTGTGTCCTGTGGGGGGTCACAGAGGTCAGCTCTGTCCTGTGTCCTGTGGGGGAGTCACGGAGGTCAGATATATCCTGTGTCCTGTGGGGAGGTCATGGAGGTCAGATATATCCTGTGTGCTATGGGGGGGTCACAGAGGTCAGCTCTGTCCTGTGTCCTGTGGGGGGTCACAGAGGTCAGCTCTGTCCTGTGTCCTGTGGGGGGCCATGGAGGTCAGCTCTGTCCTGTGTCCTGTGGGGGACCTCAGAGGTCAGCTCTGTCCTGTGGGGGGTCACAGAGGTCAGCTCTGTCCTGTGTCCTGTGGGGGGGCCCAGAGGTCAGCTCCACCCCCACATGGGATGAGGGGAGGGCCCTGAAGCCCATCTCACCCCCAGAGCGCTGGGGAGCTCACCCCAGCCACTTGCTGTGGGGGCCTGAGGCCGCTGGGCAGGGCAGGGACCACCTTGGGTCCCCAGGGCGCCTGATCCTTGCTGTTGGCCTTGACCACGGGTCCGCACACAACGCCTCGGTCAAGTGTGAGCGCATGCGCTCCCAGAAGCCCCGGCGGCGCCCGGACGCCTGCCACGCCTTTCATCCCGAGGTGAGGGGGGCCGGCCATGGGGCAAAGGGGGAGGGAGGCTCCTTCCCACAGTGTCCCTGGGGGGCTCTTCCCACAGACAGTGCGTCCTGGGGGGCTCCTTCCCACAGACAGTGTCCTGGAGAGCTCCTTCCCACAGACTGTGTAGGGGGGGGGTCCTTCCCACAGACAGTGTCCTGGAGAGCTCCTTCCCACAGACAGTGCGTCCTGGGGGGCTCCTTCCCACAGACAGTGCGTCCTGGGGGGCTCCTTCCCACAGACAGTGCGTCCTGGGGGGGGGCTCCTTCCCACAGACAGTGCGTCCTGGGGGGCTCCTTCCCACAGACAGTGCGTCCTGGAGAGCTCCTTCCCACAGACAGTGCGTCCTGGGGGGATCCTTCCCACAGACAGTGCATCCTGTAGAGCTCCTTCCCACAGACAGTGCGTCCTGGAGAGCTCCTTCCCACAGACAGTGCGTCCTGGGGGGCTCCTTCCCACAGACAGTGCGTCCTGGGGGGCTCCTTCCCACTGACAGTGCGTCCTGGAGGGCTCCTTCCCACAGACAGTGCGTCCTTGAGGGGGCTCCTTCCCACAGTGCGTCCTGGGGGGCTCCTTCCCACAGAGTGTCCTGGGGGGGCTCCTTCCCACAGACAGTGTGTCCGGGGGGGGTCCTTCCCACAGACACTGCATCCTTGAGGGGCTCCTTCCCACAGACACTGCGTCCTTGAGGGGGCTCCTTCCCACAGTGCATCCTGGGGGGCTCCTTCCCACAGTGCGTCCTGGGGGGCTCCTTCCCACAGTGTGTCCTGGGGGGCTCCTTCCCACAGACAGTGTGTCCGGGGGGGGGTCCTTCCCACAGACAGTGCGTCCTGGGGGGCTCCTTCCCACAGACAGTGCGTCCTGGGGGGCTCCTTCCCACAGACAGTGGGTCCTGGGGGCTCCTTCCCACAGACAGTGCGTCCTGGGGGCTCCTTCCCACAGACAGTGGGTCCTGGGGGCTCCTTCCCACAGACAGTGCGTCCTGGGGGGCTCCTTCCCACAGACAGTGGGTCCTGGGGGCTCCTTCCCACAGACAGTGCGTCCGTGGGGTCACAGTGGGGGTCCCCTGCTGGCGGGTCGGGGCAGGGCCCCACGCGCTCTCCTTGGGTCTCAGGAGAACGCGCAGGACTGCGGAGGCGCCTCGCACACCTGGCCTTCGCTCCCGCTGCTCCTGCTCACCACGTGGGGCTGGCTGCCGGCGCCCTGGCTGCTCTGACCCCACCATGCTGACCGCGCCGGGCCGGGGCGTCCGTGCGGAGACCCCGCACACCAGCAGCGCCCGCCGGCCGCCTGCAGCCGCACCCAGACACCCCAGAACCTGCCTCAGCGCCCCGGAGGCCAGCAGCCCCCCCCAGCCCCCCCCCACTGGGGCGACGTGCTCACCGTCTCCAGATGACGAGGGAACACAGCCCAGGCCCGACCCGCCAGCAGGATGGGGCGGGGGGGGGGGGGGGTGAGGTAGGGAAAAAGCAGGGAGGAGGATGGGGAGGACGGGCGGAAGCAGGCCGTGTCTGTGGCCCGCGCCCTGCCTCCACGTGGGAAGCCCTGAAGCTCCGTGTGCACTCAACACGTGGGTCCAGGAAGGCCCTGACCTGCATCCCTGTAATCCTGAGGACCCCGCTCCCGGAGGGACAGGGAGCACTGTGCTCAGAACGGACATCACCGGTGCTGAAGACTGACGGCCAGACCTCCATTTCCCTAAGGCAGGGAGGCCGGTGTGTCCCCTCAACCCACAGGGGCCAAGCCCGGGAGCCCCAGAACCCCAGCCTCTCCCGGCAGCTGAGGACCTCACGCAGGCCCTCAGCCCCCCATGGCTGGACTTTTGGGGTTTGTGGGGGATGAGGCTTGACCTCAGGGTCCGACACTGTCCCTGAACTATCTACATTTGAGCCACGGCGATTGGACATAAAAAGATCTCACGGGCTTCCCTGCCCGGGCTGGCTTTGAACCGCAATCCTCCCACCTCCGCCTCCTGAGTAGCCAGGGTGACAGGCGTGAGCGCCGCGCCCAGCACAGGCGGCTGCTTGTAAATCGTTAATGACGCAGAGCGACCCCCTCTCCTTCCCCCGGGGGACTGCTCGGGCTCAAGGTGCCGTGGTGACCGGGCAGTAAAGCGCACGGCACTCGGCTCAGCTTCCGTTTGACTTTTTATTAGAGAAACCGCGAATACAGCAAGTAAGAACCCCCGTGGTGAGTGGAACCCCCATCCGGTGCCTTCCTGGAATCCCGACCTTCCACGACACCCCAAAATGTGCTCTGTGGCTTCAGCGAGCTGTGGTGGGGAGGGCAGGGGAATACTGAGAAAGGCCACCATGGAATGGAGAAGCAGGCGCCGCGGGGCCTGGCCGCCGGAGTAAGGCACGCAGGCACCGGCCTGGCGGGTTCCTGGCGGGCCGCGGGGCGGCGGCCGGGCCCTGGAGGGGGCTCGCTGGAGTCAGGTCGGCGGCGGGGGCTCCTCAGCCCCAAGGGTTTGTGCTATGTTGAACCAGATCCTTCCTGCGTCGGGGCGTGGGTTGACGGCCCGGGGCCGCACCCCAGAACGGGGGCAGGCCAGGCCTGGCCTCTGATATGTGCTGACGTCCCGACACCGCGCCCCGGCCCCCCACGGGTCACGAGGGCCGCGCCAGGGCAGGATGAGGCGGCCAGGCCCCCGCCCCGCCCCGCCCCACGCAGCGTGGACCCCGTCCCCACCCAACCGCCCGCGCTACCCCTTGCCGAGCTGACCCCGCGGGGCCGGCGCCGGGGAGCCGCCGCGCCAGGGCAACAGCACCACGCGGAGGCCGGGCTCCGAGCCCGGGCGGCGCCGCGGGGCCGGGCCAGGAGGGCAGTGATCGTTAGCGGCCACACGTGGCCCATCCACGCTCCCGCCAGGACACGGCTGGCCCAGGCCGGTGCTCCCAAGGGCCCCGGCCTCACCCGCCCCTTCTTTCCGGTGCCGATGCCGGCCGGGAGCGGGGGCTGGGCTCCTGGAGGGCCATGCATGCCCCTCGCCCCGCGGGGGAGGCCCCGGCCCGGCCTCCCCAGGCTCCGTGCAAATGGAAACAGTGTGTGGTACTGGTGTCCGCGCTGTAAACAGTTCTCGTAGAAATCCTTGCCGGAACAGCTAGAAATCGTACGCACGTCGATCGCCGCGCGGCCGTGCGCAGGCTCCTGGCGGCCGGGCCGCGGAGGGCGGAGGGCGGGCGGCGCGCACAGCTGCTGTGGAGCCGGTCACCGCGGCGGGCGCGGCGCGGGCCGCCCTGCCAACGACGCCCTTCCGTGAGGTATGATTTATTTTTGCTTTTCTCTCCTCGGCCTGTGCCAGGCTGGGTCCCCGGGCCACGCCCAAGGCCCACGGGGCTGGGCGGCCGCGGCAGGCGCGTGGGGCCGGAGCGGGTGAGGCCCGCCGGCGCGGCCGTCACAGCGCGTCCTCCTCCGAGCAGCCCCCGCCGACCATGAACCGGAACTCCTGCAGGTTCGAGACGCCGTGGAAGTGGACGAAGGCGCCAGCCACCACGAAGATGTGGAAGAGCTGATGGGAGTGGAACTGCGGAGAGCGGGGGCGCGTCACCGGGCCCGCCACGGCCACGCAGGCCCCACACCACGTGGACCCCACACCACGTGGACCCCACACCACGCAGACCCCACACCACACCATGCGGACCCCACACCACGTGGACCCCACACCACACCACGCAGACCCCACGCCACACCACGCAGACCCCACACCACACCACGCAGACCCCACACCACGTGGACCCCACACCACACCACGCAGACCCCACGCCACACCACGCAGACCCCACGCCATACCACGCGGACCCCACACCACGTGGACCCCACACCACGCAGACCCCACACCACACCACGCAGACCCCACACCACGCGGACCCCACACCACACCACGCGGACACCACACCACACCACGCGGACACCACACCACGCGGACCCCACACCACACATACCCCACACCACGCGGACCCCACACCACGCGGACCCCACGCCACGCGGACCCCACGCCACACCACGCGGACACCACACCACACGTACCCCACACCACGCGGACCCCACGCCACACCACGCGGACCCCACGCCACACCACGCGGACCCCACGCCACACCACGCGGACACCACACCACGCGGACCCCACGCCACACCACGCGGACTCCACACCACACCACGCGGACCCCACGCCACACCACGCGGACCCCACGCCACACCACGCGGACACCACACCACGCGGACCCCACACCAGGCGGACACCACACCACGCGGACTTCACACCGCTGCCCAGTGGGGAGAGCGGGGGCGTGGGGCCGAGGGGAAGGGTGCTGAGTGGACCGGGGTCTCATGAAGACCTGATGTCTCACACCATGGAGGCGTGTCTCCCCCACCTGGCCCGGCCCCAGGGTTGGCGCTGCACAGACCTTAGGGGAATCTGGCTGGGCGCCCCGCTTCCAGCAACCAGGAAACGCAACTGGAGGCATGGCTCCAGCGGTGGAGCACCAGCCGGGAGCCAGCACACAGCAGAGCGAGCGCCAAGCCCGGGCTGGTAGTGAGGCTCTGGGCACCAAGGCTGAGCCGGCCAGGACCTCAGAGCACCCGGCCTGGCTCCACTCCAGCCCTACACCTGACAACCCCTCACCTCGGCCTGCCCTCCCTCATCGGTGGCCCCCCTCAGACGCCCTCGGGAGGATCAGCAGGGGAGACGCGGCCAGCACCAACGGCCAGCATGGCCGGGCCGGTGCCGCACCGCACAGACCGCCGGCAGCACTCACCCAGATATCACATTTGCCAGGGAAGAAGCGCTCCGGGATGCGCGCGGCGTAGAGCGCGGCCCCTGTGATGTACAGACTGGCCATGAGCATGAGCCAGCCGATCTGCCCGATGGTGGCCGCCTTCAGGAAGCCCTCCGAGATGACATAGTGCAGGGTGGGGATGATGCCACTCAGGCCCAGGCCCAGGAACACGCCTGGGGGGGGGGGGGGGGGAGAAGGACTCAGGCCCAGGATCATGCGGGGGGGGGGGGGGGGGAGAGAAGGACTCAGGCCCAGGATCACGCCTGGGGGGAGGGGGGGAGAAGGACTCGGGCCCAGGATCACGCCTGGGGTTGGGCAGGAGGACTCAGGCCCAGGATCACGCCTGGGGGTGGGGAGGAGGACTCAGGCCCAGGATCACACCTGTGTGGAGGGAGGACTCAGGACCAGGATCACACCTGGGGGTGCGGAGGACTCAGGCCCAGGATCACGCCTGGGAGGAGGGGGGAGGAGGACTCAGGCCCAGGATCACGCCTGGGGGTTGGGAGGAGGACTCAGGCCCAGGATCACACCTGGGTGGAGGGAGGACTCAGGACCAGGATCACACCTGGGGGTGCGGAGGACTCAGGCCCAGGATCACGCCTGGGGGGAGGGGGGAGGAGGACTCAGGCCCAGGATCACGCCTGGGGTTGGGCAGGAGGACTCAGGCCCAGGATCACGCCTGGGGGTGGGGAGGAGGACTCAGGCCCAGGATCACACCTGTGTGGAGGGAGGACTCAGGACCAGGATCACACCTGGGGGTGCGGAGGACTCAGGCCCAGGATCACGCCTGGGAGGAGGGGGGAGGAGGACTCAGGCCCAGGATCACGCCTGGGGGTGGGGAGGAGGACTCAGGCCCAGGATCACACCTGGGTGGAGGGAGGACTCAGGACCAGGATCACACCTGGGGGTGCGGAGGACTCAGGCCCAGGATCACGCCTGGGGGGAGGGGGGAGGAGGACTCAGGCCCAGGATCACGCCTGGGGGTGGGGAGGAGGACTCAGGCCCAGGATCACGCCTGGGTGGAGGAGGACTCAGGACCAGGATCACACCTGGGGGTGCGGAGGACTCAGGCCCAGGATCACGCCTGGGGGGAGGGGGGAGGAGGACTCAGGCCCAGGATCACGCCTGGGGGTGGGGAGGAGGACTCAGGCCCAGGATCACGCCTGGGTGGAGGAGGACTCAGGCCCAGGATCACACCTGGGTGGAGGAGGACTCAGGCCCAGGATCACACCTGGGGGTGCGGAGGACTCAGGCCCAGGATCACGCCTGGGGGTGGGGAGGAGGACTCAGGCCCAGGATCACACCTGGGTGGGGAGGAGGACTCAGGCCCAGGATCACGCCTGGGGGTGGGGAGGAGGACTCAGGCCCAGGATCACGCCTGGGGGTGGGGAGGAGGACTCAGGCCCAGGATCACGCCTGGGGGTGGGGAGGAGGACTCAGGCCCAGGATCACGCCTGGGGGTGGGGAGGAGGACTCAGGCCCAGGATCACGCCTGGGGGTGGGGAGGAGGACTCAGGCCCAGGATCACGCCTGGGTGGGGAGGAGGACTCAGGCCCAGGATCACGCCTGGGGGTGGGGAGGACTCAGACCCAGGATCACACCTGGGGGTGGGGAGGAGGACTCAGGCCCAGGATCACGCCTGGGGGTGGGGAGGACTCAGGCCCAGGATCACGCCTGGGGGTGGGGAGGGAGGACTCAGGCCCAGGATCACGCCTGGGGGTGGGGAGGAGGACTCAGGCCCAGGATCACACCTGTGTGGAGGGAGGACTCAGGACCAGGATCACACCTGGGGGTGCGGAGGACTCAGGCCCAGGATCACGCCTGGGAGGAGGGGGGAGGAGGACTCAGGCCCAGGATCACGCCTGGGGGTGGGGAGGAGGACTCAGGCCCAGGATCACACCTGGGTGGAGGGAGGACTCAGGACCAGGATCACACCTGGGGGTGCGGAGGACTCAGGCCCAGGATCACGCCTGGGGGGAGGGGGGAGGAGGACTCAGGCCCAGGATCACGCCTGGGGGTGGGGAGGAGGACTCAGGCCCAGGATCACGCCTGGGTGGAGGAGGACTCAGGACCAGGATCACACCTGGGGGTGCGGAGGACTCAGGCCCAGGATCACGCCTGGGGGGAGGGGGGAGGAGGACTCAGGCCCAGGATCACGCCTGGGGGTGGGGAGGAGGACTCAGGCCCAGGATCACGCCTGGGTGGAGGAGGACTCAGGCCCAGGATCACACCTGGGTGGAGGAGGACTCAGGCCCAGGATCACACCTGGGGGTGCGGAGGACTCAGGCCCAGGATCACGCCTGGGGGTGGGGAGGAGGACTCAGGCCCAGGATCACACCTGGGTGGGGAGGAGGACTCAGGCCCAGGATCACGCCTGGGGGTGGGGAGGAGGACTCAGGCCCAGGATCACGCCTGGGGGTGGGGAGGAGGACTCAGGCCCAGGATCACGCCTGGGGGTGGGGAGGAGGACTCAGGCCCAGGATCACGCCTGGGGGTGGGGAGGAGGACTCAGGCCCAGGATCACGCCTGGGGGTGGGGAGGAGGACTCAGGCCCAGGATCACGCCTGGGTGGGGAGGAGGACTCAGGCCCAGGATCACGCCTGGGGGTGGGGAGGACTCAGACCCAGGATCACACCTGGGGGTGGGGAGGAGGACTCAGGCCCAGGATCACGCCTGGGGGTGGGGAGGACTCAGGCCCAGGATCACGCCTGGGGGTGGGGAGGGAGGACTCAGGCCCAGGATCACGCCTGGGGGTGGGGAGGAGGACTCAGGCCCAGGATCATACCTGGGGTTGGGGAGGACTCAGGCCCAGGATCACGCCTGGGGTTGTGCAGGAAGACTCAGGCCCAGGATCATACCTGGGGTTGGGGAGGAGGACTCAGGCCCAGGATCACACCTGGGGGTGGGGAGGACTCAGGCCCAGGATCACACCTGGGGGTGGGGAGGACTCAGGCCCAGGATCACGCCTGGGGGTGGGGAGGGAGGACTCAGGCCCAGGATCACGCCTGGGGGATGGGCAGAAGGCAGTGAGCACCCTGGGGTCAACCGAGGCTGCTGTCCCGGCCACTGGGAGGCCCTGGCCCGGGCTGCAGCCACGCCCGGCCCTGCTGCGACTGCCCCCAAGGAGCCACGGCAGCGCTGGGGCTGCAGGCAGGACTGCGCACCGCGCACGCGCAGCCCCAGCCCCGGCCTCAGCCACCCTGCCCCGTGAGGCCCTCCTCGCGCAGTGCGCGTCCACGCAAGGCCCCTGCGTACCTGCTCTGACCCCGCGGTACTGAGGGGTGGCGAACATGTCCCACTGGGAGACGATGATGGCGGCGATGCCCAGCACGCAGATGACTATCAGGTAGATGAAGCAGGGCTGCGGGTTGCAGTAGAAGGAGTAGTAGAGCCACGGGACGAAGCTCCCCATGATCAGGAGGGCGATGCCCGAGTAGTCCAGTCTAGGGAGGAGAGGAGGAAAGGCCGTGTGCCACACAGAGCCAGCTCCCAGCGGACGCCCCAGCCCACGCCGCCCACACCGGGCACAGGCACGCGGCCACTGGCTCCGGCCGAGGAAAAGTGCTTCCACTTGATGACACCAAGAATTCCAAGCCTAGCCACCCACTGGCGGCTCACACCGGCCACCCCGGCTACTCAGGAAGCTGAGATCTGAGGATCATGGTTCAAAGCCAGGCCGGACAGAAAAGGCCGTGAAACGCTTCAATCAACCACCAGAAAACCGGAAGCGCAACTGTGGCTCAGGTGGTGGAGCGGCCGCCTTGAGCTGAAGAGCTGAGGGACAGCGCCCAGGCCCAGAGTTCAAGGCCCGCAACAGACCAAAAAAAAACAAGAAAAAAGGATCCCGAGTGTGTAATCCTAGCTACTCGGAAGAGGAGACCAGGAGGACTGTAGTTCCAGCACAGCCCAGGCGGAGTTAGAGCAAGTTCCTATCTGAAAAAACCTCAGTAAGACAAAAGCAGGCGCAGGGGCCGCGCGGTGCGGTACTCACTTGGAGAAGAGCCGGGAGACCCCTTCCGAGTGGCAGTAGACGGTGTGGAAGAGCCACGAGAAGGAGAGGCAGAGGATGGCGCCCAGGAAGAAGAGCCCGAAGACCACCTTCTCTTGTAGGGGGGCCACGAAGGAGATGTTGGGGCGGAACATGTGGAAGATGCCCAGGCACAGGAAGAACACGCAGCCTGGGGGAGAGCGTGGGGCCGCGTGAGCGCGGGGCCACGGGACGCACGCACCAGCCGCACGGCCACCGCCAGCCACAAGGGACGCACGCACCAGCGGCACGGCCACCGCCAGCCACAAGGGCCAGCCACAAGGGACGCACGCACCAGCCGCACAGCCACTGCCAGCCACACAAGACACACGCGCCAGCCGCACGGCCACCGCCAGCCACTCGGGACGCACGCGCCAGCCACACGGCCACCGCCAGCCACACGGGACGCACGCGCCAGCCCCACAGCCACCGCCAGCCCACACGCAGCCGGCTCTCTCAGAACTCCACAGGAGAAGCGCTGCCGGCCTGGGCTGAGCGTACTCCATGGCACCGCGGCGTCCACGCGGCCCGATCGTGGTGCAGCTCCTGCTTGGCGCCAGCACGCAGCCGCCCCCCACACGCACAGAGCCCCGGCGGGCTGACCAGCACGGCCCTTCCATGTGTGCGTGCGTGCAAGCACGCGGGATGCATCCTACACGGCTGCACTGACTCCCGCGGCCGCGGCCCTCACCCAGGAGGTGGGTCCAGATGTTGCCGGTCTCCGTGTGGATGCGGAAGATGCTGCGGAAGCAGGCGCGGAAGGAGGGCATGGGCGGCCGGTGCCCGTGCAGCAGGAAGTCATTGTCCTTCAGCCAGTCGGGCAGCACGTCATGCGGGATCACGCGCCAGCGGCCCTCCCACACCTGCAAGGGGCGGGCCCACGTCAGCACGGCCACGCACGCTCACACCACGTGCGACCTCAGCCACATGGCCACGCACGCTCACACCGCGTGTGACACGCCCCGCGTTACTACAATGGACAAGCTGCTCTGGGCAGATCTGAGAGAAACGCCTGTCATCCCAGCTCCTCAGGAGGCTGAGATCTGAGGATCGTGGTTCAAATCTAGCCCAGGCAGGGAAGTCCATGAGACTCTGATCTCCCATAAACCACCAGAAAACCAGAAGTGGCACTGTGGCTCAAGTGGTAGAGCACCAGCCTTGAGTTGAAGAGCTGAGGGACGGCGCCCAGGCCCAGAGTTCAAGCCTCACGAGCAACAAAAAGAGAGAGACAGACAGAGAGGAAGAAAGAGAGCGAGCGAGCGAGGGAGAGAGGCTGGCTCTGAGCGGCGCTCCTTAGCTCTCAGCCTCCTGAGGAGCAAGCCTGATGGGCGGGCGGGCGGCGCCCCGCCGGCAGGAGGTTTCACCAATGACTAAACCTGCGAGCCTGCGCGGGGCTTGAGGAAGGGTGGGGGGCGTGAGCGGCGCTCAGAGTCCCGGAGGCGGCCGGCGCGTCTGAAGGCGTGGGACAGAAAGACCCCGGGATGTTCCCACTGACCTGAAAACACCGGGCGGTGCAGTGCGGCCCCGGGAGGCCCGGCCGCCTCCAAAGCCCAAGCACGGGCTGGGGTGGCATGTGAGCGGCCCCGCCCCCGCCCGCCCCCAACACTTCCGGTGCCTCCCGGAGCAGCGTTTACTTTTTTCTTTCCTTCTTTTAACATTTGTAGCTGCACAGCCGTTTAACAAGGCTGTGACAAACACGCCAGTCTCAATCCGGCCACCCCTTCACCCTCTCCCCCGTCCCCCCAGCCACCCCCCCTTCCCCCCCACCATATTTACTCTTAACCGGGATGGTGTTTGGGCTCGCCAGACTGACTGCAGCTGCTGCCAGCTCCGACGCCCGGTGCCCCAGCCCCGTGCTGCCGTGGGGCGTCTGTCTGGCGGGGAGATGGAGGGACGCAGTCTTACCTTGCACACGAACTCCTCCACTCTCTCCATGGCGTGGTGGGCCTGCAGGAGGGGGGACATGCCCATGAACCCCTCGTCCCCCTGAGACACGCCATCGTCGCTCCCGGGGTGCTCCGCGCCCTGCGGGGCAAACAGAGGGCTGTCAGGGCTGCGGCCGGCAGCAGGGGCGCGGTCCCCAGAGCAGCGGCCACGCGGCTGCCCACGGCCAGGCGGGGTCAGCAGCCACGCCGGGCTTGTCTTTGGGTTAGACGATCTTCACAGACCACATCCTAACACTACACACAAAACCACTGCTGCAGCCTTCCAGACTAAACCCTGAGCCCCTGCAGGCCAGCGGGCTCCCTCGGCCAGCCACGCCCAGCCCCTCGGCCCACAGGACATCTTCAGCGTTGGCCCCAGGAAAGGGCTCCACGCCGGTGACGCCACCCAGGGTGACACCCACAACCCCTCCCCCGACGCCACACAAAAGGCCCAATGAGCTACCCACTGTCCTCCCCAGGCCTAAGGAAAGAACCCCTTTGTCCAGAAACATGAAGAAATGAGCTGCCCTGGGCCGGACCGGGGGTGCCCACCTGCAGGCCCAGCATGCTGGGGTGCAACGTGGTGAGGCTCTACCTCAAGTCCAGGGTGACACCCTGATGCTGCCTGTAGGGACACGTCATCAAGGTCTCTGGCCGGGCATGACAGTGCACACACGTAATCCCAGCACTGGGTCAGGAGCATTAAGGCTCCTATTTACACACACACACACACACACACACACACACACACACACAAAGAGCAAAGGCAAGCCAGGGCTGGGGCCATGGTTTGGTGGTAAGAGCACTGGTGGCCTGCGCATGTGCACAGCCCTAAATTCAGTTGGGGGAGGGGTTTAATCCCTTCTTACTTTACAAGGTATTACACACATAGGCAATTAATAACAGATTACGACGACACACCCAGCCTCAAGCGTGTCCTCAAAGTGTCCCGTCTTTACCCCAACAAAATCTAGGGCTATGCCTAAACACAGAAGTGATTTTAAAACATCATTTAAAAGCCGGGTGCCGGTGGCTCATGCCTGTCATCCCAGCTACTCTGGAGGCTGAGATCCGAGGATCACAGTTCAAAGCCAGCCTTGGCAGCAAAGTCTGTGAGACTCGTATCTCCAATAAGCTCACCGCACAAAGTGCTCACTGCACACACTGTATACACCTCACACTGCACACACTGCACACTTTGCTCACTGCAAACTGCACGCATTGCTCACTGCACACACTGCACGCATTGCTCACTGCAGTGCTCACTGCACACACTGTATACACCTCACACTGCACACACTGCACGTTTTCCTCACTGCACACACTGCACACATTGCTCACTGCACACAGTGCTCACTGCTCACACTGTATACACTTCTCATACTGCACACACTGCTCACATTGCTCACTGCACACACTGCACACAGTGCTCACTCTGCTCACACCGCACAGGCTGCTAACACCGCTCACTCTGCTCACACCGCTCACTCCGCTCACACCGCGCAGGCTGCTCACACCGCTCACTCTGCTCACACCACTCTGCTCACACCGCACAGGCTGCTCACACCGCACAGGCTGCTCACACCGCTCACTCCGCTCACACCGCTCACTCCGCTCACACCGCTCACTCCGCTCACACCGCTCACTCCGCTCACACCGTGCAGGCTGCTCACACCGCGCAGGCTGCTCACACCGCTCACTCTGCTCACTCCGCTCACTCTGCTCACTCCGCTCACTCTGCTCACACCGCTCACTCTGCTCACTCCGCTCACTCTGCTCACACCGCTCACTTCGCTCACACCGCGCAGGCTGCTCACACCGCGCAGGCTGCTCACACCGCTCGGCTGCGCCCTTCACTGCTCACGGCTCACCACACTGCTCAGGGGGAAGGGCAGGGCTCCTTCCCAGCAAACCGTGTGGAGAGAACAGGAAACCACACACGTGACCGCCCTGGGCCCAGCTTACTCCACACCGAAGCCAGTTCAAAACAGGACGTAAGCTTTAACACAAAAAGGACCTCAATCCCTAAGACCGCTGGAATCAAGCAAGAGCAGCTTCACCACACTAGCCACAGAACTAACACCAAACGCACACGCAACAGGAGCAGCATCGGGGCCTGGGTGGAGACAGCCAATGGAACAAGAGCAGCATCGGGGCCTGGGTGGAGACAGCCAATGGAACAAGAGCAGTATCGGGGCTGGGTGGAGACAGCCAATGGAATAAGAGCAGCATCGGGGCCTGGGTGGAGACAGCCAATGGAACAAGAGCAGTATCGGGGCTGGGTGGAGACAGCCAATGGAATAAGAGCAGCATCGGGGCCTGGGTGGAGACAGCCAATGAAACAAGAGCAGCATCGGGGCCTGGGTGGAGACAGCCAATGAAACAAGAGCAGCATCGGGGCCTGGGTGGAGACAGCCAATGGAACAAGAGCAGCATCGGGGCCTGGGTGGAGACAGCCAATGGAACAAGAGCAGCATCGGGGCCTGGGTGGAGACAGCCAATGAAACAAGAGCAGCATCGGGGCCTGGGTGGAGACAGCCAATGGAACAAGAGCAGCATCGGGGCCTGGGTGGAGACAGCCAATGAAACAAGAGCAGCATCGGGGCCTGGGTGGAGACAGCCAATGGAACAAGAGCAGCATCGGGGCCTGGGTGGAGACAGCCAATGGAACAAGAGCAGCGGGGGTCACTGAAAGTGTGTGCACAGCCAAGCCATCATGACTGATGGAGAGGCCGCCTTCCAGACACAACTACAGCGGGAAAGCCGCACTGCGGGGGATGGACTCAGCGTCTAGGGGCCAGCCCGCAGGAGGCGCTCAGTCCAAATCCCAGCACGGTCGGCCTCGACTCCGATGCCGCAGCAGGAAGCTGGGCCTCTGAGCAGTGCTCTGGGCGGCGCGCTGGGCGGCACGCTGGGCCTCTGAGCAGTGCTCCGGGCGGCGCACTGGGCAGCACGCTGGGCCTCTGAGCCGTGCTCCGGGCGGCGCGCTGGGCGGCACGCTGGGCCTCTGAGCAGTGCTCCAGGCGGCGCGCTGAGCCTCTGAGCAGTGCTCCGGGCGGCACGCTGGGCCTCTGAGCAGTGCTCCGGGCGGCACGCTGGGCCTCTGAGCAGTGCTCTGGGCGGCACGCTGGGCCTCTGAGCAGTGCTCCGGGCGGCACGCTGAGCCTCTGAGCAGTGCTCCGGGCGGCACGCTGGGCCTCTGAGCAGTGCTCCTGGCGGCACACTGGGCGGCATGCTGAGCCTCTGAGCAGTGCTCTGGGCGGCACGCTGGGCCTCTGAGCAGTGCTCTGGGCGGCACGCTGGGCCTCTGAGCAGTGCTCCGGGCGGCACGCTGGGCCTCTGGGCAGCACGCCGGGCGGCACGCTGGGCCTCTGAGCAGTGCTCCGGGCGGCATGCTGAGCCTCTGAGCAGTGCTCCGGGCGGCACGCTGGGCCTCTGAGCAGTGCTCCGGGCGGCACGCTGGGCGGCACACTGAGCCTCTGAGCAGTGCTCCGAGCGGCACGCTGGGCCGGCCCCGCCTCTCCTCCCCCTCCCCCGTGCACATACACACACGCGCGCGCACACACACACACACACACACACACACACACACACACACACGGGCTTCCCCCTCTCGCTGCTGGCACACTCACGTGTGAATGGAGAGAAGGACAGACAGAAGCCCCTAGAGCGGGCTCCAGGCCTCCCGGGCAGCTGTCCTCCTGGCCTCTGTGGCTACCATCAAGGCAGTGGCCCTTTCTGAGCCTTAGGTCTGGCTCTGGAGTCCCGGTGTACCCCAACTGGTTTTCTGCTGGCTCGTTCATGGGGTACCCACGCCTTTCTTATAGGAGCTCTCTCTTCTGTCTCTTCTCCTGGGAAATTTGGTTTTTAGGACAGTGAGTTGACCCTAGGGAGCAAAATGTGTTTAGTAAGTTATCATCCAAGTGGACACATCAAGTCTGTGCAAAGAGTCGTCAGGTAGATACACACCGAGACAACAGAAAATCAGCAACCACTAAGAATGGCAAATACAAGCATTACGGTACAGACACAGTAATACAGTAACTACTGGAGACATTCAGAGCAGACATTCCCAGACAGGGGTGATCACAGCGCAAGCTTCTTTACCTCTGTCCTGCCTGCGTTTTTTCCTTTTTTCAGTTAGAAACACGCCTGACTAGAACACATTACAATCTCACTAACCCTCACCTGACCGCACTACTGTATAAAATAATAACACAAAACCGGGCTGGGAAGGTGGCTCAGCGGTAGAGCGCTTGCCTTGCATGCATGAGGCCCTGGTTCCATTTCTCAGCACCACATAGGCAGAAAAAACCGGCAGTGGTGCTGTGGCTCAAGTGTAGAGCGCTAGCCTTGAGCTGAAGAGCTGAGGGACAGTGCCCAGGCCCAGAGTTCAAGCCCCACGACTGACAAAAAAACAAAAATAAAATAAAGCCAGGTGCCAGTGGCTCATGAGGCTAAGATCTGAGGACTGAAGTTCAAAGCCAGCCCAGGCAGAAAAGTCTGGAGAGCTGTGGCTCAAAGTGGTAGAGTATTCACCTTGAGCAAAAGGCCAGGGACAGCGCTCAGGCCCTGAGTACAAAGCCTAAAATAAGATAAAACCCTCCCAAGAAACACACAGAAAAGTGCTGTGTGCTCTCTCCCTGGAGAGAGCCCCAGATTCCCACCCCAGGTCCCCCGGGGTCAGCCAGCCTGGTCGCATGGCTTGCTGTCGCTCTGCTTGGAGAAGAAATCACTCACTCCCTTCAGACGCCCCCAGCAACGTTCTAGTCTTCGAGTCATCTAGAACACCCCCCGCCGGTCACAGACACAGGAGACTACTACACTTAAAACCAAGATGGAGAAGACACACACGGACCCCGCGTGAACACTGCCTTCCACACGCGGACCCCGCGTGAACGCTGCCTTCCACACACACAGACCCCGCGTGAACGCTGCCTTCCACACTTGGACCCCGCGTGAACGCTGCCTTCCACAAGCGGACCCCGCGTGAACACTGCCTTCCACATGCGGACCCCGCGTGAACGCTGCCTTCCACATGCGGACCCCGCGTGAACGCTGCCTTCCACATGCGGACCCCGCGTGAACGCTGCCTTCCACATGCGGACCCCGCGTGAACACTGCCTTCCACATGCGGACCCCACGTGAACACTGCCTTCCACATGCAGACCCCACGTGAAAGCTGCCCGCCTTCCCCTCGGGAAACCCACCTGCAGATTGACAGGCCCGGCGCAGTGATTTGAGGCGCAGACGCGCGAACCATCAGCGGTACAAGAAAACCGCGGTCCGCTTAAGTAACACGGACCAACCAGCCTCCCAAGCTCCCACGGCGTGAGAACCAGCGCCCACGGCGGCCCTGCTCACAGGCCTGCTCCCCCCTTCCCCCCTCAGCAAGGATAAATACCCACAGAGAAGCCAGCGCGGTCCCCCACAGCCCTACCCCCCCAGCTTCTGCCTCCCAGTCTGCCTACAGGAGCCTTCTGGGGAGCACTCACCCAACCCGCAGCGCGGAGCACGGGGGAAGACCTCACAGAGGCTTCACAACTGCCCAGTAATAAAAACGAGCACCTGGGGGCTGGGAAGGTGGCCCAGTGGTAGAGCGCTCGCCTTGCATGCCTGAGGCCCTGGGTTTGATTCCTCAGCGCTACATAAGCAAAAAGAAAAAAGCCGGAAGTGGCGCTGTGGCTCAAGTGGTGGAGCGCTCGCCTTGAGCTGAGGGACAGCGCCCAGGCCCAGAGTTCAGGCCCACGACCGAACCAAAAAATAAATAAAACAATGAGCACCTGGCGCCTCTATCTGATGTTTCACAACTGAGCCCTCCGTCCAGCACCAGGGGTGTGCGTGTGTGTGTGCGTGTGCGTGTGCAATAACCGACATGTGAAGATTTGTTACAACTGTATGGTGGATAATGAATCGATTCTACATGTTAATCTGTTAGCCAAACAAAACACACATCTTGAAAGCTAATTTCCAACCAACGCTCCAATCACATTCATTAGCTTGAAAATCAATGCTTAGTATCACTTTTCTTTAACCTACAGCTTAAAAAAAAAGAAAGAAAGAAAAAGAAAACAGCATTCAGGTAATGCGCAATTTAAATAACTCTTAGAACCCTAAATCAGACACCGGTGGCTCACACCTGTCACCCCAGCTACTCAGGATGCTGAGCTCTAAGGATCACAGTTCGAAGCCAGCCCGGGCAGGAAAGTCCAAGAGACTCTCGTCTCCAATGAACCACCAGAAAACCAGAAGTAGAGCTGTGGTTCAAGTGGTAGAGCACTGGCCTTGAAAAATCTCTGCGACAGTGTCCAGGCCCATGACCAACATAAACAAAAATATATATGGAAATATTTACTCCTAAAAAAAAAAGTCACTTCTTCTTCCAGGGCTTGAACTCAGGGCCTGAGCCATCCCTGAGCTTTTCAGCTCAAGGCTGGAGCTCTAACACTTTGAGCACAGTGCCACTTCCAGTTTTCTGGAAGTTAATTGGAGATCAGAGTTTCATGGACTTTCCTGCCCAGGCTGGCTTCAAACCACGACCCTCAGATCTCAGCCTCCTGAGTAGCTAGAATGACAGGTGTGAGCCTCCAGCACACAGCAATTTTTATATTTTTTATTCCTAAATTACTGAATTGCAATGCCAGCTGCTGATTTATTTCTCCTTTTATACATATTTCAATCACACTTCTGTATATTTTTCATTACGTTACAGGGCATTTTTTCTGGAACAAAAAGAGGCAAAATTAATTTCAAGAAAACACACAGTAAGGGGCTGGGAAGGTGGCTCAGTGGTAGAGCGCTTGCCTTGCATGCATGAGGCCCTGGGTTCGATTCCTCAGCACCACATAAGCAAAAAGAAAAAAGCTGGAAGTGGCGCTGTGGCTCAAGTGGTAGAGTGCTCGCCTTGAGCTGAAGAGGGACAGCGCCCAGGCCCAGAGTCCAGGCCCCACGACTGACAAAAAAGAAAAGAAAACAGAGTGACCCTTCTGCTCCATTCCCACCATACTTCCTCTCTGACCAGAGCGCTGGGTGTGTGGACACAACTCTGCACGCGAGGGGCTCACTGAATCTGGTTTTGGAGCACACTTGCAGCGTGCTGCCAGTGATAGGTCGTTGCTCACGCGCTCACGCCACACAGCAGAAGCGCACGCGCAGCTAGTCACCTCTGCCTGCCCAGCGCCGTGCTCTTCGCTGCTCTCTGCTCTCCAGTGTCCATCTCTATGTGCAGCCCCCCCCCCCCGCCCCGCCTCCACAGAGACCCCAAGCCTCCTTTCCCCTTCCCATCCCTAAAGATCATCACCTGGTGGGGCCCAGAAGGACACCTGCCTTTCCCGGGTCACACGCCGGTTACGTCCGCCAGGAGACATTAGCCAACACACACATCCCTATACAACAACGGCACCCTCCAACAGAAACTTCCAGACCTCAGGAGCACGGCTGCGCATCAGCTGCTCACCTTCCAGACTCACAGAAAACACAGCCGCGGCAATCCTGTGCTGCGGCTCCCACCACGTTCGCGTCTCAGCGCAGCGCCTCGCGGGGCAGCAGGCGGCGAGGGCCGCAGGGAGCGGCAGGGAGTGGGCGGGGACCCCGCACAGGCGGAGACGCTCCAGCGATCACACTGCGCGGGTGTTCACCGTGACACTGCTGCTAATGACACATGTGACTGCGCTGTTGTGGCATGCGCTCACACCCGTAAAAAGCTTGCTGCAGGCCAGACAGCGCCGTGTCACGCCCGCGTGCCACCCCCACGGCGGCCCCACTAATCTGCTGTGTGAAGGTTCAGGACAGCACAGAGAGGTCATGTCCGAGTCAGGTGTCGGGGGCTCACGCCCGCCACCCTAGCTACTCAGGATCCCAGTTCAAAGCCAGCCTGGGCTGAAAGTCTGTGAGACTCTCTCATCTCCAATTAACCAGCAAAAAGCCAAAGTGAAGCTGTGGCTCACGTAGCAGAGTGTCAGCCTTGGGTGACAAAGCCGAGCGTGAGGCCCTCCATTCAAGGAACTGGACCATGCTTCCAGGTCTGCGGAAGTGTGCCCTGTGGTGGTTGGTGACACTGGGTCACCCAAGTCTCAGAACAGAGCGCTGTCTCCGGGTGACGCTGACTACCTGACAGGTCAGCAAGTTAGGGAGGGAGAGATCACCCACTGTGCGGGAAAGGCCACGGGAGCCGGTGTACCGCGCCCCTCACCCTCCCTCACCCCAGTCAGCTCCAGAAGAAGATGCTAAAAACACAACACGTCTACCGGCCAGGCATCGTGGCCCATGCCTATAACCCTAGCACCTAGACGAGGGAGGCAGAGGATCTGAGGATTGCAATTCAGAGCCAGCCCAGACAGACAACCCGGGGAGCCGGGTCTCCAACTGACCTGCGAACAGCGGAAACTGAAGGCTCAGGGGTAGCATAGCCAGGAACAAAGAAGCTGAGCAAGAGAGCAAGCCTCAGTACCAGCGTGTGCGCACACACGTGCACTCACACTGCACAAGGGCACACGACACATAAACATGTCAAACTCTAAGTCCCTTGTACAACCATTTTTGAAGACTGAAAAGTAAAAATAAATAACTATGTACATCTACTGCATGAAGGCTTCCCTGTTAGGAGGAAGCCGGGCATGGTGGCTCCTGTCCCTGACCCCCGCACTAGGTCAGCTGAGGTAAGAGGATGAACTCTAGGCCGGCTCCCGCTTCAGAACCATGTCAAAGCCAGCCTCTGCTGTACAGACACTGCCCAACAACCACCAAAAAACCAAAAACAGTCAGCCAGGTGCCGCCGGCTCACGCCTGTCATCCCAGCTACTCAGGAGGCTGAGGTCTGAGGATCGCGGTTCAAAGCCAGCCCAGGCAGGAAAGGCTGTGAGACTCTGATCTCCAATAAACCAGCAGAAAACCAGAAGTGGCGCTGTGGCTCAAGTGGTAGAGCGCCAGCCTTGAGCTGAAGAGCTGAGGGACAGAGTCCAGGCCCAGAGTTCAAGCCTCATGTCTGACAAAAAAAAAAAAAAAAAATCAAGGGCTGGGGATACATGTCTCTCAGTAAAAGCAGGATAAAGTCCTGAGTTCAAGCCTTAGTCAAAACAGAAAAGAAATGAAAAGTCAATGCAGGTGTACTGACAGGAGAGCTACCCACAAACATTAACTTCTCTAAGAACACGTGACTGCAAGCCAAGCGGGCCGCAGCCTGCTGCCAGGGCTCTGCAGGTCCCGTCCGCCCAGGGCTCCCTGCTCCGCAGAGGTGGGCTGGCTGGCTCGGGCCAGGGTGTCGCCTTCCTGAGGCCTGCTTGCTGCAAGCCTGGTCGGCAGCCACACGTCCGGCAAGCGCCGGAATCTACTAGAACACATCCACTGGCCTGCCCTTCTGAGTTCCTACTGCAACGGAGTCCTCACCTCAGTCCACCACCCAGGCAGCCCGGCGGAGCGTGGCGCTGGGGCACGGGCGCGCTGGCCGCGGCCGCTCCCGGGTGGTCTCACCTGCAAGCCTTCTGACCGCACTGCGAAGCGCGGTCCCCAGAGCAGAGGGGCAGACGCAAGCCAAGCGCAAGCTCGCGTGGGTAGACTCCCGCCCACTCCCGTGAGGCCGCAGGCAGCTGCACGGGTCTCTCCGGACGCGCAGACTGACCTCTGCGGAGGGATCGTCTCAAATGAGGCCAAAACTGTTCCATCTGATCCCAACTGCCTGGCAACAGTTACTCCTTGCGGCCCTTCTTCCTGTTTCGGGGACAGAATCTCTACAGACCCTGGCTGGCCTCAAACCCACCACGGTCCTACCTCAGCTCCCGAGTGCTGGGCGCACAGCCCGGCAGCGTCCACGCTGGAGGGAGAGGAGAGGGAGAGAGAGACAAAGACAGAGACAGAGAGAGAAAGAGCACACGAGACAGACAGACAGACAGACAGACAGATAGACAGAGCAGGCAACGCACAGCAGCCGGAGCTGAGGAGAAAGCCTCCAAGGCAGCGGCCAGACCTGCAACCCTCAGGGCAAGGCCCGAACACCCCAAAGTGGGCAGCAGAGACACAGCACGCACTTAGCCCCCTCCCCGCTGCTCCTCACTCTGAACCCCAGACCATACAGGAAGCCCCTGCAGCCCAGGCACGGCAAGACCCCATCGACACCCCAAGACACCACCGACATCCCGAGACCCCACCATCACCCCAAGACCCCACCGACACCCCAAGACCCCACCGACACCCCGAGACACCACCGACACCCCGAGGCCCCACCGATACCCCGAGGCCCCACTGACACCCCGAGACCCCACCATCACCCCGAGACCCCACCGACACCCCGAGACCCCACCCACACCCCGAGACACCACCGTCACCCCAAGACACCACCAACACCCCGAGGCCCCACTGACACCCCGAGACACCACCGACACCCCGAGACACCACCGTCACCCCAAGACACCACCAACACCCCGAGGCCCCACTGACACCCCAGGAGGTTGAAGCTCAGCAGAGAGGCTGAGCAGCCGTCCCTGGAGGAGCAGGAGCCGCAGCTGCAGAAAGATTTTCAGAAAAATCTACAAAGTCCAACTAAGAAAAAAACGCAAAAATCTCTCCTATGTTAAATCCCATAAGAGGAAACGCAGGACACAGACAAGAGGAGTCCCGGAGAGAAACCGCGGCGGACACAGACCTCAGCAGCAGCTGCAGGGAGTCCCGAGAAGAGTAGAGCCACAGCTCCCAGGACACCCGAGCCGCTGGCCCAGCCGGGGCCGGACCAGCCTCGGGGAGGGCGAGGGGGAGGGGCAGAGGGAGGGGAGGGGCTGAACCCTGACAAGGGATAAGAGCCACTGACAAGGCCAGAAAAAGAGAAGACGGTAGGGGTGTGGCTCCAAGGTTAGAGCACCTGGCCTAACTTGGAGACCTACTCGGGAGACCCTGTGTTAGAAACCTAGCACCACTAGAAAATGGGAGCCTAGGGGTGCACAATGCTCCGGGTTCAATCCCCAGTAACACAAAAAATGAGAAGGGCGATAATGAAAAATACTAGTTTTTAAATTATATAGAAATAGCCGGGCATGGGGCTGGGAAGGTGGCTCAGTGGTAGAGCGCTTGCCTTGCATGCCTGAGGCCCTGGGTTCGATTCCTCAGCACCACATAAGCAAAAAGAAAAAAGCCGGAAGTGGCGCTGTGGCTCAAGGGGTAGAGCGCTAGCCTTGGGCTAAAGCGCTGAGGGACAGTGCCCAGGCCCAGAGTTCAGGCCCCACAACTGGACCCAAAAATTAAAAAATAAAAAAATAAATAAATAGCCGGGCACCAGCGGCTCACACCTGTCATCCTAACTACTCAGGAGGCTGAGATCTGAGGATCGTGGTTCAGAGCCAGCCCAGACAGGAAAGTCCATGAGACTCTTATCTACAATGAGCCACTAGAAAACCAGAAGTGGGACTGTGGCTCAAAGTGGTACCAGCCTTGAGCTCAGGGACAGCGCCCAGGCCAGGAGTTCAAGCCCTAGGACTGGCAAAAAAGAAAAATACTATAAACCAATACTTAACAAATTGATCCTGTTTGTATAAAAATGATCACAAAGAGATTTTGTAAGGATAATTACCAAACCAACCAACCCTGTGGTACAATTCTGGATTTTAACTTTCTCTTTACTACTTTCCTGACTTTGTTTTAACTTTGTACAATAAATGTCACACACACACACACACACACACACACCTACCTTTTTTTTTTAAAGGCAAAGTAGCTCTGGCCTTGAACTCTAGATCTTTTGGCCTCCTGAGTATTAGGTGTGGCACAGTGACTTGAATATGCACCCTTCTTAATAGACTATTGAGGGCTAGAGTCAAACTTCAGGCTGGATGGGTCTGGTACAGCCTCACCACATGACTGTGTGACCAGGATCAGGCACGGTGATACCTAACACGCACAGGGACACATTCCAATAAAACTCCATTTACCAAAACAAGCAGCGGCCGGCGCCCATGGCTCACACCTGTAATCCCAGCCACTCATGAGACTGAGATGTATGGATTGTGGCTCGAAGCCAGCCCAGGCAGGAAGTCTGTGAGACTCCATCTTCAGTTAACCATCAAAAACCCTGAAATAAAGCTGTGTCTCAAGAGGTAGAGTGCTAGCCTTGGGCAGAAAAGCTCAGGATCAGCACTCTGATCCTGAGTTCAAACCCTAGCATTGCACACTTGAGCGCATAAGTGCGTGCGCGCGCGCGCGCGCGCGCGCGCACACACACACACACACACACACACACACACACAGAGTAGTAGACAGGATTTGGCCTGCAGACTGGTTTGCCTACCTCTGAAGTAAAACTGTTTTACATTTAGGAAGATAAACATTGAAATAAAGTATGCGAGCCAAATTGATAGCACTCGACTGACAAGATCTATTCATTTATAAATTCACACACTGAACGGGGACAGGAAACACAAATCTTTAAACCCTGTAAACTAGCTCACGTCCCCACACCCAGAGATGAAATCTGCTGCTAACTAGTCCAAAGTCGAGGCAGAGAAGTCAGGAGAGAGAGGAGGCCTTTCCTATGCAGACCAATTTGAACTCCTCCTTCTTTTGTATTCCAGTGCCAATTGGCTGCCACCTTATCTACCAAGTCTTTTTTTTTTTTTTGGGGGGGGGGGTCCGGTCATGGGGCCTGGACTCTGGGCCTGGGCGCTGACCCTCAGCTCTTCAGCTCAAGGCTAGCACTCTACCACTTGAGCCACAGCGCCACTTCTGGCTTTTTTTTTCTGGGTATGTGGTGCTAAGGAATTGAACCCAGGGCCTCATGCATGCAAGGCAAGCGCTCTACCACTGAGCCACCTTCCCAGCCCTCTACCAAGTCTTAATGCTGATGACGGCATCAAGCCTTCGACACTGTGACAAATCTCAAAGGAAGAAGAATGGAAATAAGCAGTCTCTAACAGTGTGAGCGTCCACAGTGTGCCTTACAGGGGTATACAGGACAAGCTGAGGCCTAGGCCCTGCCCAGCACCGGCCTATCAGTTGTGGCTTTAACCCGGGGCCGAGCCCCAGCCCTGAGGTAGATCCTGACTGGTGTCAAAAACAAAGCTCTGAGCTGAAGGAATTTCCTAATAGAAGGTCTGTTTTCAGAAGACAGAGTGTGATACACGCCTGAGAAACCACGTCAGAACATACACGTATATGTCTGTCATATATGTCCATACTATATATGTGTGTATTACATGTGTGCAATGTATACATATGTATGTGCCACATGTCGTGTCTTATATAGTACTATGTGTGATGTGCGTGTGTTACATGTGTGTTGTATGTGTCTGTTACGTGTGTCACCTGTGCATGTGCTGTATTATACACGCATACACCATGTGTTGTGGGGGGGTGTGTTACATGTGTGTGTTGTGTTACGTGTGTCACCTGTGCGTGTGCTGTGTGTATTGTACATGCATACACTGTTGTGTGTGTAATACGAAGCACTACATGTATGCACAGATTAGATACACGACACTCTCCCACACACCACGGGGAAAACAAACCTGGGCCCCCCACCCCGCCCGGGTGGGACCGAGACGCTGCGGGGTCGCCAAAGTGGGGGGAAGGGGGTCGCGGGGAAGAGCCGGGGCCGGGGTTGAGGGGACGAGGGCCGGGACGGGAAGCAGGGATGGGAACCGGGGGCTGGGGGGGGGGGGGGGGGACCGGGACGGGGACCAGGACAAGGACCGGGGTTGAGGACCGGGTCGAGGACGGGGACGGGGAGGGTGAGGGCCGGGACGGGAAGCAGGGATGGGAACCGGGGGCTGGGGGGGGGGGGGAGGACCGGGACGGGGACCAGGACAAGGATCGGGGTCAGGGACCGGGAACGGGGAGGGTGAGGACCGGGACGGAGACCGGGACGGGGTCGGGGACCGGGACGGGGACCGGGTCGGGGACCGGGACGGGGTCGGGGACGGGGTCGGGGACCGGGACGGGGACGGGGACCGGGACGGGGACGGAGACCGGGACGGGGTCGGGGACGGGGTCGGGGACCGGGACGGGGACCGGGACGGGGACCGGGTCGGGGTCGGGGACCGGGACGGGGTCGGGGACGGGGTCGGGGACCGGGACGGGGACGGGGACCGGGACGGGGACGGGGACCGGGTCGGGGTCGGGGACCGGGACGGGGACCGGGTCGGGGTCGGGGACCGGGACGGGGTCGGGGACGGGGTCGGGGACCGGGACGGGGTCGGGGACCGGGACGGGGACGGGGACGGGGACCGGGACGGGGACGGGGACCGGGTCGGGGTCGGGGACCGGGACGGGGACCGGGTCGGGGTCGGGGACCGGGACGGGGTCGGGGACGGGGTCGGGGACCGGGACGGGGTCGGGGACCGGGACGGGGACGGGGACGGGGACCGGGACGGGGACGGGGACAGGGACGGGGTCGGGGACGGGGTCGGGGACGGGGACAGGGACAGGGACGGGGTCGGGGGTGAGGACCGGGTCGGGGTCAGGGGTGAGGACGGGGTCGGGGTCGCGGCGCCCCGGCCCCGGCCGCCCCCGCCACGGCGGGGCGGGTCAGAGGTCGCGGCCCGCGCGCTTCCGCCGCCGCCCGGCGTCCCGTCACCTCCGCGCCCGGACGGCGCGGCGGGAGCCGAGCGAGGTCCTCACCGGAGGCGGAGGCCGCCGCTGAGGGAGGGAGGAGGCCGGAGGAGGGCCCGGCCGCCGCCGCCGCCGCCGCGATCCGCGTCTGGACGGAGCTCGCGCCGCCCGACCGCCGCCGCCGCCGCCGCGCGTCTCCCCGCCCCCGCCGCGCGCGTCGCCGTGACGTGATCGCCCGAGGCGGCGCGACCCAATCGGCGCCCGCCCCGCGCGCAGGCGCGCTGCCCCAAACAGGAAGTCGCCTCGCCGGGCGGGCGGGGTGCGGAGAGGCGCTCGCTGCCTCGGTGCATCCTGGGAGTTGTAGTTCGGCCGGGAAGCGGGCGTCCGCGGCGGCGGGACGGAGCGCAGGAGGGCGTGGGGGGTGGGGGGGGGGGGCGAGCGCTTCCCCGGCCGGGCGGAGGCAGCGGCGCGGACGCCCGGCCCGGTCTCCGTGGATACCGGTGCACAATGGCGCACGCGGGCCGGGGCGTCGGTGGCGGCCCCGGGGGCTGCGATCGGGAGGACCGCGGTGCGAGGCCAGCCCCGGCAGGAAGGGCGGCCCAGGCCGCGGGCTCGAGCCCCGGTTCCGGCCCCGCGCGCGCGCGCTCATCCGTATCACTTTACTCATGGCGGGTCCTGGGCCTTGAACTCGGGGCCTGGGCGCTCTACCACCTGAGCCACAGCGCCACTTCCGGCTCTTCCTGCCCAGGACTCGAACCCAGGGCCCCAGGCATGGTAGGCGAGCGCTCCACCTGCCCTCGGGGCGGAGGCCTGCACCCGGAGTAGGAGGGCCAGCCCGGCCCGGCCCTCTGGGGCTGACCCTCTGGGGCTGACCCCCCCCCCCCCCCCAGCCGGGCAGCCGAGGCCCCAGGGAGGCCGCCAGGCCCGGACTCCAGCCCAGCCCGGCCCTCCCGCCTCCACCCCACCCGCTCAGGAGGCTGAGATCTGAAGACCCAGGTTCGAAACCAGCCCGGGCAGAAGTGAGACTCTGATCTCCAATTAACCAGCAAAAGGAAAGAGCTGGAGGTGGAGCTGTGGCTCAGAGGGTACGGCACCACCCGAGGGGCAGCGCCCGGGCCGGAGGCGCTCACGGAGCCCGCTCAGAACGGGAGTGAGATGACCACCAAAGCGGAGGTAAACGCAAGCCAGATTCTTCTCCAGGAATAGCTGACTCTGCAAACTGAATTACTGTTTTTTAAAATTTACCTTATTCATAAAAGACATACCAATCACCATGTCTGTCTGTCTGGGTCAAGACATCAAGTTTTGGGGTTTGGGGTTCTTTTGGTGATCATGGGACTTGAGCTCAGGGCCTGGGCGCTGTCCCTCAGCTCTTCAGCTCAAGGCCGGCGCTCTACCACTCGAGCCACAGCGCCACTTCCTGTTTTCTAGTGGTTCATTGGAGATCAGAGTCTCATAGACTTTCCTGCCCAGGCTGGCTTTGAACCACGATCCTCAGATCTCAGCCTCCAGCGTAGTAGCTAGGTTGACCAACGTGAGCCACTGGCATCCGGTTAGGCCTGAAGTTCTTAGTGCTGAGGCAAACCATACCATTTCTTCCCCTTGCTCACTCGCTCCGCCCAAACAGGGACTGCCTCACCCTCCCTGACCAGAGAAGGATTTCCTGAGCTCCACCTGTATGACAGCCCCATCCTCCCTCCCAGCCTGGCCTCCCTCCCCCCCCATCCCTCTCCCTTCCCAGCCTGGCCTCCCTCCCCCATCCCTCTCCCTCCCCAGCCAGGCCTCCCTCCCCCATCCCTCTCCCTCCCCAGCCAGGCCTCCCTCCCCCCCACATCCCTCTCCCTCCCCAGCCTGGCCTCCCCCCATCCCTCCCCCTCCCCAGCCTGGCCTCCCTCCCCCCACATCCCTCTCCCTCCTCGCCTTTCTATACGGTCTTCTGGTGAGCTGGAAGGAAACCCGGAGGGCTCGGTGGAAACCTGTGTGGTCCAGCGTCACCTGCAGGTCTTGAGACCCCCAGTGCCTTCCATCTTTAGGGGGTCATGCCTCTCATTCCCCACGGCTCCATGGCTCCCAGAACCGCTTCCTGCCCCCTACCTCCCTGTCCCCCGCCCCCTCCCAGTGACCCAACAGTGCTCCGTGGGTGGTGAGGTCATCGTCCCTGTCATTTGTTGACAAAGAGGGTGTCACCCAAGGTGGGTAGCTGGTGGCTTGGGTGACAGGTGCGCTGGCCTTGATCGCAGCCTGGGCTGTGAGTCAGCCAGGAAGACTGGAGACCCGGGAAGGTCAGGCTGTGAACTGAGCCTGGAATTTCCCAGAGGCAAGTGACCAGGTCTCTGCCTGGTCTCCGGGAAGGCCAGTCCAATCCTGCCTCAGCCTCAGAGTAACCAGGGGCTGGGCGCACACACCTAACTAAAGCAGGTGCTCTGTGTGTGTGTGTGTGTGTGTGTGTGTGCGCGCGCGCACGCGCGTGCGCCCATCCTGGGGCTTGAACTCAGGGCCTGGAGCTCTATTACTGAGCTTTAGTGCTCAAGGCTAGTGCTCTACCCCTTGAACCACAGTTCCACTTCCAGCTTTTTGCTGGTTAATTGGTGATAAGTAAGAGCCTCCTGGAGTTTTCTGCCTGGGCTGGCTTTGAACTGCGATCCTCAGATCTCAGCCTCCTGAGTAGCTAGGATTACAGGCATGAGCCAATAGCGCCCAGCTAGTTTTGCTTTTCTTTGCAATGGATCTGCTCAAATCTTTAATTTAAATATATATATATATATATATATATATATATATATATATATATATAAGTATTGAGGTCTCTTGCATTACAAATAATCTACCACTGAACTCCGTCCACCCCCGTTTTTATTTTTTCTTTGGAGACAGGATCTCACTGAGTTGCCAGCGCCAACCTTAAGCTGCGATCCTCTTACCTCAGCCCCGGAATGCTGGGATTACAATCACATGCCACCCCACCCAGCCTTTTGCCTATTTTGTTAAAATTCAGTTCTTACCATTTCTTAACTGTCGCGTTACAAGAGGTCTCTGTGTATTCTTCAATTCAAATGTTTTGCCAAAATAAAAGGCGAGCAAAGAATTGTTTAAGAACTTGGGGAGCGACGGGGTGTGATCACGTTACACCGCACGTAGGTAGCCATGTCACAGGAGACCCCGTTGGGCCCAACTGACCCTAATGAAAACGTGTGGGGAGGAAAAAAACCTATTTAACAACCCAGGTCTTCCCGCAGTCCCAAGTGACAACAGGTTGATTTGGCTGGGCATCTCCTTTGCGGCGAGAATCAAGATGGGAACACAAAAGCGTCACACAGTGTTAACAGTCATCGGGCGCCGGTGGCTCACGCCTGCCACCCTAGCTACTCAGGAAGCCGAGAGTTGGGGATTCCAAGGAAAAGTCCATGAGACTCTTACTTCCAATAAAAATAAATAGCAGGAAGTGGAGCTGTGGCTTCATTGGTAGAGCGCCAGCCTTGAGTGAGAAAACTCAGGAACAGCAACCAGGCCCCAGGACTGGTACACACACACACACACACACGCGCGCGCGCGCGCACGCACCATCAGTCATAAATGCTTTGTGTTAGAAAAGGACAGATCCTGAAAGACAGGAAGTAGAGGCGACCATCAATAAACAAAAAGTAATTTCCCCAGTAAGCTGGGAGCACCTGTTAACTTTTTTTTTTTTAATCTGTCAGCTCTTTATTAAGGAAAAATTGAAGATAGCATCTGCTCAGAAAAAATCAACTGCCTAAGCAATCACCCACACACAGAAAACCATGAGCCAGGAAAAAGAAAAAAGAGCATTTTTAACTGTTGCTGCTACACACTTAAAATCCGTAACACGAAGAGGTTTGTTCCCCTGGAAATAGTGTGCCAGGACAGCCAGACTCTGAGCTGAAGACCCAGGTTCTTAGTCAGGGTAATTTGAGGAGACTTGGGTCCCCAAGTGCCAGGGGAGGAACTCTGGTGACCCGGTGAGGAGACAGTTTGCAGAAGTTGAGCTCCAAGAAAGGGCTGGTGTGTCCTGAGCAGGAAGCGGAGCCGAGGTGGAGCCTCCAACTCCTAGGACTGAGACAAAATCCCCGCCCGGGCCCTGCGTCTCAGGTCTGCTTTTCCATCCCAGCGATGAGAGACAGAAGCAAAACCCAACCAGGTACTCAGGAGGCTGAGATCTGAGGATCACGGTTCAAAGCCAGCCCGGGGAAGGAAAAGTCCATGAGACTCTTATCTCCAATGAACCACCAGAAAACCAGAAGTGGCGCTGTGGCTCAAGTGGTAGAGTGCTCACCTTGAGCTGAAGAGCTGAGGGACAGCGCCCAGGCCCAGGGTTCAAGCCCCATGATCAGAGAGACAGAGAGACAGAGAGAGACAGGTGGGGGGGGGGGGGGAGACAGATCACTGCTAACCTAGAACTTCATTCTCCAGTCTCTCACTTCTAGATTCTGACAGTAAACGGATGCACACTGTCAGATTTTTAACTCTAGGATAGAATTCAGGGTAAAATGGACAGAAACATTCTACTGGGGGCAGGCAGAGTAGCTCAAGTGGTAGAGCGCCTGGCTGATAAACAAGAGGCCAGGGTTCAAACCCCAGTACTGCCAAGTAAAAAAAGAAATACGATATTTGAAGCAAAGTGAAAGCTAATTGGCAAGTCAGGTATGATTGCACACACCTCCAATCCCAGCCCCAGCAGGAGGAAGGGCCAGGAGGACCGTGAGTTCGAGGCCAGCCTGGGCTACCTGGGTATCTATGTATCTATCTATGTATCTATCTATCTATCGTCTATCTATCTGTCTATCTCAGCCAGCCCAGTGACACATGCCTGTAATCCTAGCCATTCAAAAGGCTGAGAACTGAGATCCAGGCTCAAAGCCAGTCCCAGCACCAAAAAGCCTGAAGTACTGTGGGACCAAGTGGTAGAGTGAAAAAGCTCAAGGGAAAAGCATGTATGCTCCAAGTTCAAACCAAAAAAAAAAAAAAAAAAAGTCCGTTTATAGCGGTTTAAAGAGAAGTGCTTTCCTCGTGTTGATCCTTTGGTGTCACAGATTGTCATTGCCACCAGATTCTGCTTCAGACAGCAGCTTGTGGACAGGGCAGGACCTGGGGCTAAGGAGAATACAGGAGTAGGTCGGCACCGGGGTCACAGCATGCTAGGGTCAGCGTTGGGGTGGGTGTCAGCCCCGCCCCCCCCCCCCCCCCCCCCCCCCGCTTTGAACAATCAACACATA